TACTAAGCTAGCTATAGTTAAATTATTATAGAAAAAGTAATAGTAAGCTTTTTTAGTATAATTAGTTCCACATAAGTACTATAGAGTTATTAGTTAGTGTAAAGAATATAGCTCTAAACTCTCTTAGCTACTAGTTAATATCTAGCTTTATTACTTATTCTTAAATATTAATAGATGTAAATATATAGGGCCTGTATTAGTTCCTACATGAGTGTGCACTCAGGTCACAGGCAACCTAGATTACAGGGATCATTGCTCAGGTCAAAGGGAGTTGTTACAGAAATAAGGGTAATCATAGAAGTATTACCCCACTTCTATGGCCGTGTCATTATAGCAGGAAACTTTTTCATCCTCGCTTCTGTACGAAACATCAACCTGTTGCTGACTTGTGTGGGTTACCAATGTTCTGTAGAACGCGGCATGATGGCATTCCCATCAAGAAGAAACCCTACAATCCATCTGACGACAGATTCTGTACATTCAGTACTTTAATTATAAGTACATCACTCTCTCCCTGGACCCATCATAACTTGTAACCCACCGAAACGAAGTCACTGTGTAATCTACAAGCCTGCCTCAATCTATATATTCAAAAGCCACTCCTGCCTCCTTGCACAAACGAGTATTAGCAAGATGAACTGTCCACATTGTGGGTACAACTGCATCTCGCGTCCCTATCTGTTCACCTGTCCGAACTGTAAGAAGGAAGTTGCAGGGAGCCAATAAGGTTACACCCCTTACCATACGCTACAATAAGAGATATACTAATATTCAATGATACAGGCTCCAAATATGTAGCCTCTGCTTCGCCTCTTCTGTTAAGGAAACAACACCTGCGAACCTGCGTAGGTCTGGTAACGCTGGACCGCGCAGAGAAGGCTTTATTGACTGTGCTCTGCTTGACAATTCTGCTCTTTCTCTGGGAATCCACACCTCGCTCATTCCTGTTCCTCCTCATGACTATGTATGTAGAACAGATATACTGGAAGCCCTAGCCACTCGTTTAGCGGAAGACCACTTCCGAATACTATACAATATGCTTTATATACAATCAAAGTCAAACATGGTAAGTTGTACTTTCAAGGCTAAAGCTGTCATTGAACACGGCGTGGAGGCCTCGTTGGCTACAAAAGCCTAAATCGACCCCCAGTAATCGAATATCTCATGTAGACAAGTTAAAGACGGTAACCAAATTGTCTATGTAACAACATGAACTCCTCTTTCGGGCTCTAGTGCACACCGAACAGTAATTAAAAAATCCGTAGAGAAACTTTTTGCTGATGCTGGGTTACTAGTGTCACTCAAGTATGAAAACCAAGGTGGTGATAGAGTGGCCAACAGTTACAACTTACTTAGCTTTAAACCACTTCATAGCACACATATAGGAGTTAATCTAAGCTTAGTTCTCCTTGACCTACTTTAAAAGCATGGGATTAAGGACTAGGTCTTAACTATTACCACTAATAATGTGTCTAATAACTCTATATTAGTAGAGAGTATCTAGGACTCTCTTTAGTCACTTAAGCTACTAAACTAGATACTAATTATTTATATACCATGTATGGCATACATTATTTAACTTAGTTTAAAAGAGCTTCTTAGTAGGATGGAAGTAAACCTAAGGAATAAGAGAGAAGAGATGGAATAGACTAAGGAAGAGAATAGGGCTTAGTAAGAGAATTAAGAAATTATATATACTCTTAATAAGGTAAGCTACCCTCTTTAATATTACCTTAGTTTATACTTATAATATATTAGGTTTAGTAGCTTATGGTCTATATTAATAAGAGCCCCTAATACTAAGAGGCCTTCCAGAACCTTTAGATAACAGAACTAAAGCTTATACTAATACAGGATGTTAGGACCTACTAGAATTTAATATATCTAATACTCCAGCGCACTAAATAGCTATAATCTATTTTTAATAGGTTCTGCGTGTAGTATAGTCATCATAATCTATAGCTAAGCCAGGAGGAACGGCAGCAGATTAATTATCTTCTTATAATTACTCAGCCATTCTTTATGTTTATAACCACCCTCTTAAAGACCAAGGATATTACTATCTATACCATCTTTAGTATCTATAATAAACTTTTTAGTTATTTAGAAAGATCTATAGTGCAGCTTATGCAAAAGAAGGTTAACTAGAAGGTAGTAATACTATCTGCCCTAAAGTAAGCTAAGTTAAAGCTATTAGAGTATTATAGCATGACTAATAATATCTATAATAATCTATATATAATTAGTACAATCCTAGCGCTATAAAATTAGCTTTACTTCTTTTCTACTAAGGAGTGGGAGCCATGCTAGCATGTATAATATTATAAGAGTCTTAAGGATTACCTTATGCCCTACCAATAGTAATATTCGGACACACAGCCTATATCTAATGGCCACTCTTTAGCAGATTAGATCTCTGATATTAATATGCTTATTATATTAGCTATATCCTTTTAGCCACAGACAAACACCCACAGTGAGCTTATGTAGTATCTTAGAAGTAGTATACTACCCTCTCTAATCTCTTATATCTCTTTTACTTATCATATTTCTAGGCACTTATCTAATTAATCTATAGCTTTTCTGGAAGGACTAACAGCATGAATATTCTATCCTTATAAGCCTAGTATAAGATATTCTTATAACTCCTGCTACTAGTTCTGGTGTTAAATAACTATTTAACTTAGCTTATAATATATATTACTACTGTTAAGGCTCTCTGAAGCCTAACATAATTAAGGACCTTATGATATCTATATATATATCAAGATTTAACATTGAATCAGAGCAGCTAACCTTTATTAATAAATATTTTATAGCCTAGGAGATTCAAGCAGTAAGAGAAGAATAAGATACTTATAAGATAGTGGATAAATTTAATCTAATTAGTGATAATAAAGAAGATGCCCTAGTAGCTATATCTCCACTAATATAACTACTTAGTGAGCGTGCACTTAGTAAAAGACTAAGGACTAAAGCCATAGAGCATCAGGGGCCACTAGTTAAACTAGATAATAAGGATTATCAGGATGAAATCCCTCTACCTAATAACAGTGACCTGTATGGTGAAAGTAATACTCAGAGGTGAATATCAGGGTGGGTTCCAAAGCATTTAAAGCAAGATGAAGATTAATTTATGTATCAGAAGCCATAAATATAGTAGAATTTAAAATATAAAAGCTCCCATCTAATCCTATAGTAAAATTATTTTAATCTGACCTTTTTACCTAAACTGTAATCTAAATACTCAAAAATATAGATAAAAACTACACAAAATATGCATATTATGAGATTTCCTATATTTATACTGTTTGTGGAATCTAAGGTTTAAGTTAAACCTAATAGGTTCAACTCTAAGAATGCTAGAGTCAGATCATGACTCTAGATCTTAGAACCTAAACCTGAGTCTTGGCAGTTCTAAGTTAAATCAAACCTGACAAGTTGTGACTCCTTATGAGGTCTAATAGAGCATTCAACAGAATTAAGTAATAAGTCATAGAGGCACTAGTATTAGTGTAAAGTGACCTAGAAAAAGAAAAAACCATTAAAACTAATGCATCTGACTATGCTATTAGGATAATATTAACTTAACCAGGACCAGATGGAAAGCCTTAACCAATTACTTTCTATTTAAGAAAGTTGATTTAAGCAGAACTTAACTATAATATTTATAATAAAGAACTACTAGCTATAGTGGTAGTATTTAAAGTCTGGAGAGTTTACCTAGATAGAGCAAAATACATAGTTATTATAAAGACAGACCATAAGAATCTCATATTCTTTACTACCACAAAGGAATTGACATAACAATAAGCTAGATAGGCTAAGATACTTTTGCAGTTTAATTTCAAGATCATACACTGCAAAGAAATAGAAAATGGATGAGCTAATGTGCTTAGTTAATAACCAGATTATGAATTACAAGGAAGAATGATTAATCCAGTAATTCTATGGTAAAATAAAGATGGATCATTAATATATAATTAATAAATACTTGCAGCAACTATTGAGCTAAAGAAGGATCTATTAATGCAGAAAATCATTAATAAAATAAAAAAAAGATCAAATCATTTAAGAAATACTTAAAAACTCAGTGGATAATGAAAACCTCATAACAGATGATAGAGGACTAGTATATTTATAAAATCTCATCTACATACCTAAGTGTATGAGAACTAAGATTATCATAAAGTATTATAATAACCTAATACATAGTTATATAGGAACAGAAAAGACAGCTAAAGCTATCTTAAGAAACTACTACTTTCTAAATATAAGAAGGAAAGTACAAGGCTATATTTAGTAATATAAAACTTACATCAGAGATAAACCTACTAGGCACTAACCCTATAGCAAGATATAATTACCAGAAGCACTAAAACAACCATAGGAATGGATTACCATTAACTTTATTAGACCACTACTAAAGTTAAAAGGGTATAACTACTATTAAACAATTGCAATATGTGCTGCGGCTGCCGTTCTGGGCCTCACTTGCGGCCTATTTCGGCCGCACTGGCACAGGCCGATCGGGACACGCACCGTCCCGCCTACACCCACACACTCGCTCTGCCATGCTGTGGTCCTGGTACAAGCCACTTACCATACCATATCAATGTCCCCCATAACATGCAAGTGATCGTCTTATGCCCTAACAACTGTAACGACTCACCTCCATGTCAATTGATTCGAGGCCGTTTTCTCTCTGGGAAATGGAAAACATGTCCACCTCCTCGTCGACTTGCATTTCCGTGCCCACTTTGTCGTCCACAGCCCAATGCCACTTACTGCGACTAGGATAGTCGAATCTTCGTGGTTACGTAATCGGCCAGATATAGATCGCAGGCAACCCAGCTGGCTCTAGAAGTTACTGATTGTCAAGTAATTCTGTCTTCCTCTCATTTTGCTGTCTTCCTCCTGTCTTCCTCTCCTTTTGCTTCATCAGCATCATCTTCTCATTATAGAAGGGTTAAAAAGATACCTTCGGCGCTGTTACCGCTATGGGTCGGCGTTCTCGTCCTACAAAATCTACGAAAGAGCCCTCTGAAGGAGGTAGTGACAGTTCAGGAGAATCATTTCGATTCAGCGTAGGGGAGAGTAAGACGGACAGCAGCTCAGTGTTGACAGATGTGACTGTACCAGACTCTCCTAAACCCCGTGCTGTTAATAGTGGCCGGTCCCTGCCTCGTGCTCAAAATAAAAGCCGTCCCTCGCAGGCTCAGGTCGATCTACCAGATTTCAGCGATGATCCAGATGATGATACAGATGAAGACTTGGCTGATGTCCCGCTCGATTACGGGAGAGGCCTTAAAACAAAGCAAAGGGGGGAACATATCGAGAAGCGCTGGCACAAGTGAGTATACAGGTCCAGTCCCGTTCATTATTCTCTACTAACAACCATTAGATACTGCCGTGTTAAAGCAGCCGAGCCGAACTGCCCCCAGAAATGGAACAACCCGAGCGATGCTCTTCGCCAGATCACCCCTAACGACGTCCATCGGTTCTTCAATTATTGCGGCAAGCTCCAATGGGGGATTGATGGTCGACGTTTGAAGGGTCTCAAGAAAGCAAGCGCGCTCTATGCGGAATGGAAGAGTTTCCAGGGCTACTACCGTCGTGTTACCAGGCAGAGTAGCAGCGATGATTACTGCGAAGAGATCAATGCTGTACGTCGACCCCCTATTTCGTTCGTGTAGGTGCTTACAGACTCAAAGGGTCTTCGAAGGCTTATTGACAAATGGGAGCTGGATACGGATGAACGAGAAAAGACTCCAGTCTATGTTCAAGACTTAACGGAGTTCAACGAGACAACTCTGCGTACTCAAGAGAAGCGATTCCATGTGGGCTTTGAGCGCATCCAAATATGTCTTTTCACTATGCTGGGAATATATACAGTGAATCGCCTACAGGCGCTTCTGTCACTACAATTCAAGCACCTACAGTTTTCTATCCAGCGAGATCCCCTTGGAGGACCTCCAATTCCTCTAGTAGAGATCCGGTCGAAACATGTGAAGAAGTTTTTAGGCATCTCCCAACAGTACGTGTGAAATGTTAACCAAATCAGACGGGAAACATGATTCTGGCTGGCTGGCTGACTTTGCCTAGCAACAACTTCCCGTTACCCAAGATCATTAATGATCCTTCGTTGATATTCAGTCCACATGTCTTTCTATTTGGAATCCTCTTTTGGCTCGACGCCTTTGAGGCCCCAAATTTAAGGTCGATGGAAGACCTCAGAAGGCTCCTGGTCGAGGGTGGTCGGCAGCAGTTGGAATTGCCGCTGAAATCCAATGTCGCTGAGCATTATATCTTTTGTATGACTAGACTTGTTAAAGGGGAGGTCGATATCTAATAGACTGAGCCGATGAACGAATCTACGATGTCTGGAAGACTTAAGAGCCTTGGGGAAATTCATGGCTGGCTTCATTCTTTCTTTGCACATCGCTTTCGATATGGGGGCGGAAAAATGCTCAATAAAAGTGGTGGGTTTGCACCCATGGCACCAGTTCTGAACCGTGAACTGAAAGTACAAACATGGGACTAATCTCTTGAAAATGACAGGCGCGGTGAGCGAAGCCGAACAGAATCTGATCATGAAGCACGCTAATATTCGCACGTTCTTGAATCACTATCTGCCCCGTCACATCGACGCGGATATGCAGAATATCATGAATGGCCGAGACTCAAATACGACCCTCATGCGCGCAATCACACGGATCAGTCGGTGGATAGACAAGAGACGACCTCGAAAACTAACCGACCAACAAAGGGCATCCATTCGCGAGCATCCCGAATACCTTGCTGCTGTCAGCCAGCGGGACCAGCAGGAGATAGCATACCAGGAGAACCCCAGCAGCCAGATGCTGTCAAAGTTACAACAACTAAGACGTAAAGTCCTGAGCACGTACAACAGACTGTATGAGGCGCTCAGGAAAAAGACTCAAGAGGAATTTGATAGGAAGCAGGCTGTCATCGACATTAAACGTCAACTGTCTGGGACAGCTCTCAATAACGAGGAAGCTAAGGAAGTTCTCCGGACTGAGGATGAGATGCCACCTGAAAGGATTCACCTGATCAAAAAGCTCTTTTCATGGCCGACATCTCCATCACTCGAAGGAGAATGGGCGCGTCGGAATGCGGCCACAATGGCAGTCTCACAATATTGTCCGGTTCGCGAAGGAGGTCCCTTACGCGGGCGCCCGAAACGTAAGGCACCAAGTGATGCATTCGACGATGAACAGCGGCCTAGCGGTAAGCGTAACTCTGATGAATGCTGCCAGCCGAGTAAACGACCTTCCGCTCGAGAGCTTCTTTTTCAGGAGGCTGAGGAGCATATTCGGACAGCGAAAAAGCCGCGAAGGTGCTTTCAATGTTTCGGGAACAGCAGCCTTCCTGACAACCGTCGCACTCAGGAGTGGATACAATACAAATCGACTCTCCGGCATTTCCGAAGCAAACATCTTGACGACCGCAAATGCAATTTCTGCGGAGATACTTCTGAGGACTTCCTCCATGAGATGCATTTGCGAAATCATGCGGCTACTGTCCACCGCCTGATAACCTAACCATTGTACGTTCGCACTCTCCATGACAATACACCGACGAAAACCTGTCCTGGAGTTTCTTGTAGATATAGTAGACTGAGGTCATTTCCCCAGATTTTGTATTGTCCTCTTCTAATTCCCTGTTGTCTTCGTTCCTGTTGTTATAGACCGTCCGCCTTTACCTACTGCAGTCTTAGTTGATGTCTCGTGGCTTAAGTATTATATCGTACAATACCTATTGTTAGAAAGTTCAATACAGTACAATGTTTGGAAATTGCTAGTCATTTGTATGCGACTCCAAAACCCTATTAGAGCTCGGTTCTTCTCAGTGACCATCTAAGTGAGCCATATTCCCAGGGTAACCAAACCGAATCACCCGAAGCTGGTTAGCAGTAAATTATCAAGACGGTATGCACCGTATGCACGTGACCTGGAAAGTCTTGCAGAAGCAAAACAAATCTATAATGGCTAGGTGCAAGTGCTACAAAAAGTAGACCAAATTAAAATACAAGCAAGAGCGTCTCCTAACATTGGACAAGCGCATCTGGATAGACTGGCTCTAGTTGCATTTATGTATTGGTGTATCTAAGAACACGTCGTGCCTATAACTCTCGTTCTAATCCACCAGTGTGTATATTGTACGGATCTATACAGGGAGAGGGAGGGAAAGATAGGGAACGTCCTATAATAGTCGTGGCAGGTTCGAAAAGGAGAACAGTTAAGCCACATTGATGTATCCCAATTGGCGGATGCCGGCAGTGTGGCTGTGCTGCAACATGCGGGGGCCAGGCGTCCTTGCCATCAGCCTTGCCTTTGAATAATAAATGGAGGAAACCCCACAGCTGGCAAGACTGTACAACTTCCTACAGCTATAAGCTGAAACAAGTCGACTTATGTTTTCCAATGGCAGTTTTAAGTGACCTACCACCTGAAATCCTGACGATCATCTTTCATGACCTGCCTCACTCAGATTTTGTATCTACCTGTCTTGTCTCTAAACAGGTCTATAAAGCATGCCTTCCTCCACTGTATGCTTCGTTCAAAGGGAGCCGCAACCCGAAGCAAACTTGGAGAAGATTTCAATTGTTCTTGAACATGATCACAAGAGACGATGCCCTTGGTCGGCTAGTGAAATCAGTCCTTATCAATGAGACTGACAACGACAAAGGCGATGCAGCCGTACAAGGGTTGATTGGTCTACTGCTCTCTCAGGCTCTAAACATACAACAATTTGCAATACCCGGACGCCTGAATCTGTTGCCCCTGCTGAAGAGACAGCTCGCTCCAGGTGGTCTTCCTCTCCAACAGCTGCGAGACTTTCGCTGTGCGAATTGTGGGCCTGAGATATGGGAAATCATCCATCATTTTCCACGGTTATCTCAGCTAACACTGAGATATCTTTCATGCGGCCCATCGACACTACAGTTACCAGTATCCAGCCTTCCTATTGAGCATATCTTGCTTGAGGAATGTGACCTTGGTTCACAAGCTATGTGTGTGGTTATCAGGAGCTGCAAACGTCTACTGCGCTTCCATTATCTTCATCCTCTTTTTGGCCAAGAGGCTTTTTTAGGCCGTGTACCCCTCAATGCTCAAGATGTATATGAAGCTCTACTTCTTCACAAAGATCACCTTGAAGAACTCGTCGTGCAAGATCATGACTACCGCATACCATACGATGAGACCCCCAAGTTTGGATCCTTCGCAGACTTTCCTTCTCTTCAGAGGCTGGGCGTGGACTGTAACACCATATCTGTGCAAGCATCTCTACCACCTAACCTACGTTCGATAGCAATCCAGCACTGCAGCTCATCTAAATCTGCAGATGTGCTGCTCTACTTAGCTAGCCATCCGGTAGTGGAAGCGATCCAATTCGATGACGTTGATGGGGGTGCTGCGACTTTCTTTCAACGCTCTCAAGCGTCGGGGCGTATACGAAAGGAAATACAGGTTCATTTTGTGTCTGCATTTGCTGCCTACGCCCGACACCCCAGCCTCCAAAACCTAGTCAACTATCCCTTACACTGGAACAATCCCGCAGAACTTCGCCGAGGCTCACTGTTTGTCAATCCAATGTGATGGTTTGGGTATGAATATTAGATATGTCTGTAAGCTAGAACGGATGTTTGCCGTCCACTGCTTGCCTACGCTGACAGTGAAATTAATTATGCCCATGGCTTCAAGTTTCAACATGCAGATCACACAGAGTCCATATAGCTCTATTCTGTCGCCGGGAACCCCTTCCAATGGTGCGCTAGGGTAATTTCACCAATAAGTCGATAAGTCGCCACGAATCTACTTATCATTTTGCAGCATGCTGTACATAATTCTTGCATTGACTCATTAAATGCGATAAAACTAAACGTGCTAAATCTACCTCACTAGTTTCATTGCAAGATCCGAACCCATCTCTCCATTAGAATCCAGGAGAATCACGAAGTTCTCATCATCAGCGAGGGTCCGTGCCTCACAAGCGGCGTAGTGGATGACCAAATCTCGAAGTAGAGATTTTCCACCAGGCTCACCTCGCCCAGTGTGCATGTAGGTGAAGTCCAGCAAATCAAGAATAACGGATGTGCTCTCACGGTTCAGTGAGAAATCGCAGAGGTCTCGGTGAATAGACTTCAGGCATTGTTTTCGTAAGGGTTTGATAAGGTATTTTGTTGCGAAAACATATAGTTTTGCATGGAACAGAATATCGGGGTCCGACGAGGACGATGCTGGCTCGCTCCGAAATTTCAGAGAACGAAACTCTTCCCAGAGCCGCTCATATGGATAAATAACAGTAATCTGGGCCGGAGGAGGTCCATCGTTGGCTTCTGAATCCCACGAATTCTTCTTTTTCTTCTTTTTGTCTTCCTTCCGAACAACAGGGGGATTCCAAGGGTCCCAAGGGTCTGGGGCATCCGCTATAGTTGCTGCGGCGTCAAGGGGTTCATCTTGTGCGAGGCAAGTAACGTGGTTGAAACTCGGCTCTTCGCCTTCATCAACCAACGGACCAAGATGCCGACCTTCAGCCTCTTGAGATAGAGTACAGTCAGGAGTAACATAGGCACCAGTATACGCATATTCACAGAAACCAATAAAAGTCTCTACTTCCACATCCTCAAGAGTTGCATTTCCAGTATTAGACTCCTTCATATGACCATTGCTGATAAGAGCGTATAAAGGGTCTGAATTATTTTTCACAACTGCTCTGTGGATCGTCAAGGGAGTCCGTCCCTCGCCGACAAGAAACGTGAAGTGTGATGAATGAATGATCCTAAATCGCAGCATCAGTGATGAGTACCATGCTACGACATCGGAACGGCCTTACTCTTTGTAGTCCGCCATTCTTCGGGTCTCCAATACTTTTGATTCGGCTGCTGATACTATAGAATATTGTGGCAGTAGAAGGAAGTCATCAAATCATTCAATCCGATGAAAGGATGAAGAGGTGCACCCAGACATGACTCTGGTCTGTCTCTTGATGGATACAGAGGGGCTACATGTACAAATTGGCCGCTCATCGATACCCATGCATGCATTGCCAACTCACGTTGTGGCGAAGTTTCCAGCATGCTTTATAATTGGTTGAAACGGAAGCAGCAACAAGCGGAATTTGAAACTCAAGGTGAACATGACCTAAGTGTTGGCGCCAACCACGCGAAGCTGATTCGAGAAAATTCAGCACATAGAGAAAATGTCCGGAGGCAACTACAACTTGCCACTCAGCACATTACGCCTACGCAGGGCTAAGCCACCCAAATTTCACAGGACACAGGTGCTTGCTGTTTACTATTTTTCCATGATAGGCGCCCGGGTCATCGGCATTGTTTCTGTCTCCTCTGGAGCAGAACAAATGTACGTGGCTACCCCACTTGGTTAGAAAGGACACTATACTAGTGGACAATACCCAGAAGAGAGCAGGGAATGTAGGGTCTCGAACCGATGGTGTTACTGTACCCCTGTGGTTGAGGCTCAGCCCAGGCAGACAATTACCTGCCTGTGGCACTTGCTGAAATAGCCTTATGTGTTGTTCTGAGTAGGAAGAGAACTGAAGAAGTAGAGGCCTTAACCATTCCAAGTGTGGATAATTCGTATCCTTTGATTATCGTTACTGCTGGCTCCTCTATTAACCCCATCAACATCGAGGTTATCCCAATTTACAATGCCTTCAAGTTTGAAGCGTAATCCAATTCAGCATTTTCGGGAAACAATGCAAATCGAACTATTTGAGGCGATCCGGAGCCTGGAGTCGAGGAGAGTGAGGAAAAGGGGGAAACTGGGGGGAAAGAGGAAAAAAAGAGATAATATCATGGACCGCATTGAAAAATTGCTAGAGGACGACACCCTGACTCCAAATTTCTTCATCAATGGCCTCTCGCCCCTGGTTGTGGCGGCGAGGATGCCTACAGAACCTCAGTTACTTGAGGCTCTCTTACAACACGGTCAGATCGATGTGAATATGACCGACTGTGAGGGACGGTCTGCCCTCTCTTATGCTGCTGAATTTCAGCAACTTCAGTCCTTGAAGTCTCTCCTATGCAAGGGAGCAAAGCATGACTTGCAAGATAGCGGCGGCCGCACGCCATTGTCCTGGGCAGCAACCGCTGGAGAACCAGATCATTTTCTCCCCGCTATCAAAGAGGTGATCGAACAGCTCTTGGCAGCTGGAGCTGACGTTAATGCAGAAGACTGGAAAAAGCGGACTCCCCTTGCTTGGGCAACGATCAAAGGTAACAAGGCTACAGCGGAGCTTTTCCTGTCAGTGGACAACGTCAACGCCGACATTCCGGATACAGACGGCCGAACTCCACTATCACATGCAGCGGAACTTGGTCTTGCTGAGATTGTACAACTTCTCCTTGATTCAAATGCGGACATCAATCTAGAAGACAAATGTGGACGAACTCCACTATTGTGGGCAACACAAAAAGGACATGAGACCATAGTATCCGAACTTTTGGCATCAGTGGGCGTTGATGTGGATCATCTGGACCCTGACGGCCGGTCACCATTATCCCATGCAGCGGAGCTTGGTCGCGGAGAAATTATACAACTTCTCCTTACCTCACGTGCCGACATCAATCTAGAAGACAAACTCGGGCGCACTCCACTGTTGTGGGCAACAAGGACAGGACATGAAACTATAGTATACGAGCTTTTGGCATCGCCGGGCGTTGATGTGGATCTTCCTGATAGGGATGGCCGAGCTGCTTTGTCCTTCGCGGCAGAGCTTGGGTACGCCAGCGTCGTGCAGACCCTTGTCAGTGCACACGCCTACGTCAATTCTGAAGATAATACGGGACGGACTCCACTGGTATGGGCCACTGTGACGCGTCGAGCCGATATAGTACAAAGCCTACTGGCCTCCGGCTTCGTTGACTTGGACCACCGGGATAGTGACGGGCGAACAGCCATTTTCCACGCAGCCTCGCTTGGTTACGATGATATTATGGAGCTGCTAATGCAAAACGGTGCTAATGCTTTCTGCACCGATAAAGAAGGTCATACTCCTTTCTGGGCACTTCTAAGCACCAGAAGTCGGCGGCAAGAATACGAACCGATACAAAACCCATTCCATATCATCAACTTGATCATGTCACTTCCGGATCCGGACGTCAAGGATCAGGATGGTCGAACTCTGCTATCATGGGCTGCGGAGTTTGGGGACGAGGCCTTGGTACAGGCTCTAATTCTGCGAGACGGAAACCCAAATATTCGAGATCCGGGACAATGGGCAGCAGCACAAAATGGTAATTTTAACAGGACTGACGCCGCTGATGTTGTTATATTCCGCAAAACTCCGTTAATATGGGCCTTGGAGAATGAGGAAGAATCTATCGTGCAACTTCTTAAAGACATCGATAGAGACAGTCTTCACCTACTACTCAGTGAGACCAGTACTATTGGAGAGCAGAAGGCCTTGGACCTGGTGCGGGCTCTCATTGACCAAGGATACAACATCAACCAAACTGATGCGGAAGGGAAAACCCCCCTACACCTTGCGTGCACCATGGCAGATGACCAGTTTGCCTCTGCTTTGATTCTGGGAAGAGCGCATCTGAACATTCAGGACAACTCACGCAAGACTCCCTTGCAGTATGCGTTGACGGAGAAGAGAGTGGACACTGTCAGAGAACTCCTTAAGCACGGTGCGGACATCAAGCCTATTCCATCGGTCATTTGGCTGGCGCTTGGGAATAAAGCATCGGAGTATGTCCAGCTTAGTCAAATGCCTAGCAGGCAGAAACACACAATGGAGCTGCTCACTGTTATGGAAAAGCATTCTTGGATACCCTCCGCTGGGGAGCGCAGATTATGGTAGGTCTTACTCTCTGTGGCCTACCATCAGAACTGACCCTGTCTCCTATGGCAGTTTACATAGCAAAGGAAGCGTATCCTGGTCTAGGCTTCACATTGAATCGGGATTCCAAGGCTGCAGCAATACTGAATATTTCTGTTACAGGACCCTCAACAGTGCTAAGTATGATGGATGTGTCGCATCTCATATGGCCGTATCTTTTCCTTTTAAGAATCAACACGGGTCTGCAAAGGTACGACATTTCTGGGGTATAGAGTGGGCAGTTAAAAAGACCGAGGAGAGCCCTGCCTACGGCTTTGTCAGCACGCTTTCAAGCAGCTGGGTCCCTGGGAATGTCCATGAATTTTGCAAGGAATTTTTGGAGGAAATACGCCAACAGTGGCGGGGAATCTGTCTTGAAGCGATGAAGAGTATAGAAGACATTGTACGCTCACATTATACGATATCCCACGCGTCTTACTAACGATACCTACTGGAAGCGGAGCGAACAGCTTACTCTACGAGGCAGAAGTCGCCAATTAATCGATGAACTCGCGCGAATCGCCCTGAGGCGCACCGAACTTCGGCGTGGCCTACAGCAACATGTTGTTGGGCTCCGCAGAGCAATTGAAACGGATACCACGATCAAAGTCGAGGAGAAACCATGTTTAGCAGAGATGATTCAGGACATCGACATCTCTACAATGGCGGTATTAGACGATGTGGAGAAGTCTGTACGAGAACTTCTACAAATTGTGGGTATTCAAGCCAACTCTCCCCATTTTGCGTTAACGTCGTCAGGAATTCGCCTGGGTGTCAATCAATGAGGCGGCAAGCACGAAACGCCTCAGCTGGATTACTGTAAGTGTTGGAATCGATTTTGATTTTCAGAGTCGGTTGGTTTACGTTTGCCTTAAGTTTATTTTCGTTCCATTGATGTTCATATCAGTGAGTCACCTCGTGTCCAATCTATTATTTCCTTGGTATACGTGACTCCTATGCTGACAATGATGGCCATTATCACTACTAGAGCCTCTTTGGTATGAACGTAGACATATTGCGGAATAGTCCGGACTGGAGATGGTATCTATTGTTCAGCGCCTTATCCTTTCTGTTGACAGTTGCTATCTGGGCTAGCCTTCGGTTTGTTCGGGTGAGCTAGCCATAGCAAAACGATTGCATTGAAGAAAACTGAATCAAGATACTAGATTGATCCTTGGATGAGGGGTAAAGGACTCTTAACGAGAAAAAATAAGGATGCAGGCAACTCGGCGCACGCAACAGTGTAAGATACAGTACTTGCCTTCAGCACTCAGCTCCTGGTGCAGTCACTATGGGAGATTAGCTTGGCCACATATAGTGAACATGGCTAGTTAGCAGATCACAGATGCTGCATTGTTTGGATCGCAGCCCTCTTTTCCAAGTCGATGTTCACAGCTTCTCCAAACCAAACCTGCGTTGCTAGGTAAGGGTCCATTTACCGAGAAGTAAACAGATCGAGCAGTTCGTCAGAATCAAATTCCATTCTCTTGACCACTTCTGGATCTGTCGTTTCCAGGGGAAGCTCAGAAGGCGGCGGCAGCGTGGAAAAGCTGTCCACTGTCCGACGCATCCTTCTGCTACACTCGCGGAGAAAGTGACCTCTTTTCCCTTTCAAGACATCCAGAAATACTTTGAAACAATCTGGCGGGATCCGCTGAATCCTATAGAAAGTTAGCAAATACCAGAATCAACATTTATTCCCGACGTTGCTGTATACATTCCATCACATATGGCGAATTCGTCCGAAGGGATAAAAGAGAGAATATGGCTTCCAAATTCTTGAACGCCCATATACCAATTTCTTCCTGAATATAAAGTGTCTCTAAACCGTTTGACGTGTTTTTGAAAGATTGTGGTGTCTCGACCAAGAGAAGGGTATTCTTCGGATATAATACCCGACAAGGTCTTTCCGTCAATGTAAGTTCTCCAATCTGTGCCGACCGTTGCATTCCTTCTGGAGGTATACATATTCACTATGCCGACTAGAGTATATCTAGTTTGTATCTGGGCCACTCGTCTTGACGTTGCAGATTTATCGAGGGACATAAATGCCTCCTTTATTGTCGCAGAACGCCGGAAAGCAAGACAGTTGTCTTGTCCCCGCAGAGCGTCTAGGAATTCTCGAACTTGCTCCATAGCGCAGGGGCTTGCAATGGTAAAGAAAAGGCGAGTTGTCAGAGAAATCATATCCATACGAGAGGTCATACAGGGAACCGATAGTTCACGCTGTATTCCACTGATTGTATACCTGCAGCGCGTAAACTGGGGCAGCATACTCCAGTCAGTCGTCGACCTTTGCTGCCCTCTGGGCCTGCGACGGGCCCTCATTGACTCAGTACGTCCGGCTTCGCCTTGGCGCCTTTCAGTCACAGAGGGACCGGATTCCTGCTCCCTGCTTGGGCTAACATGGTCTGGCTCAGGCTGCGACCTGGGAGTATGGAATGATCCGTCGCTGTGGCTACTTGGACTTGACTGTTGCTGTACTTCTGAAGAAGAATCCTGGTGAGTATCTGAAATTGTGGATGCCTCAGTCTGATTCCGCAATATATTGAAGATCGACCATAGAAGTTGGTTTTGATTTTGTACTTGCATTGATAGCAATGCCGTTTCTCTCACATGTTGGTTATGCGCCTGAGCAACAATGATGGTTAGCATAACCTCGTGACAGACGAATAATGGACTTTCCATAATCAGTTCATTAACTCCCATGCGTAAATCCTGCGGAATATGCAGGTATTGAAGCCCAGCAGCCTGGTTTTCAGGCGAGCGCTCATCTGCTATAGTGCCAGGTGATGACACTGTACTAAGAGTAAGAGAACCGTCAGTTGGCAAACTTGCCAAGTATGACCAAGTATTATGAGGATCCATGCTCTTAACGGCACCGCGTTTGATGCTCTTAGACGTAATAGAAATGGGAGTTAAGGATATTCTTGACCATGAGAGTGGGTAGGGTAGTCTCCTTATATATCCATAGGGCTTGGCCGATCAAAAGCATCGTACAGCTGAGTCAGCTTCCTGATATGGCGCAGGCTAGCCCGGCGTGCATATCGAGTTAAACGACGACGCACAATATGCACGTGACCTATAAAATCTTGCGGAAACAAATGAATCTACTGTCTTGCCGAAAATGTCAGCGCCTACAACGCACCCACTGATGGTAGACACGGACCATTGTGGAGACAGGTTGTCCGATCTATAACAACAAGCTACCATCAAGATGTCCACTTCTGCCAGACCTCCAATCATAACAGTTTCTTTGACTGTGGATGAAGTTGACAATGACAACCATCACTCTCCATAGGGACACAGGAGTCCTCTTCTATGGCTGTTGCTTTAGAAAAATAAAGGATATTAAAGCGTTCTAGAGGTCATCACTTTTCGACTGAAGGATGGAGCACCTACTTTTGGGTAGCTTCAAAACTCCTGCACTTGCAACATCAGGAGGTGGTCCGATATTTCGTTTCAGTTAGACCTCAACCGTGGAGGTTACGTATAATTTATTACTCACTCTTCTCGGTAAATCTGGCCATTATTAAATCCCTACCGGAGAGACGACGCCGCTTTTTAGGACAAGATGAGTACCAAAACCAGGATAAAACATTTCCAGGGCGAGTGCCTCTTGTTCTACACGGCATAGACGCCTCCGCCTCTTCTACGTCTGTGTGGCTGTTATTCTTGGACATTAACGGTTCATTTCCGGAGATTTTCCGCAACTAAACTGGCGGCGGCACGAATCCAGAAAATCTGCTCGCTGTCAGAGATCACCGAACAGTCACCGTAGCCTGAGTACTTTCAACGGTCTACTGATCACGAAACCATGCATGCTCCAATGCCTGACACGCTGTGAATCGTTTGGTCGGGTCCAGATTCGTGAGCCGCTGAATAAGATCCTTGAATGTTGGATCGACGACTTCGGGCCACTCGGAAAATGGTTTGTAAGGGATGTGTTCCTCAGACCTTTCATCCCATAGCATCCTTAGGACCTGGCAACTAATCTCATCATCGCCAATGTGTTTCAGAAGACCATTAATTCCTTCTGAGTCTCCAAAATACGACACTTGACGTTGCAGGCGAATAAAAGCAGGCAGTGCACCCTGGGTTTGATGTTTTCTGAAATCCTCGTCAGGACCGAAGATGACACGCCCGAGCATAGCGTAGATGCACTAACAAGGCCGTTTTAGTAAAAGTCTTTCAATTGGATCTAACGAACTCACAACGACCCCAAAGGAAAAAATGTCTGTTGGTTTATTAAGTTCGCCCTTGAAGTGCGCCTCAGGGCTTCGCCAATTGTCGTTGCCCGCAAGCATACCTTTGATACATCTACCCTTGGGAAGGTAAGCGGCATTTTCAAGGTCGATGATCTGAACCCGTTCAACCGTAGTATTTTCACCACTGTGCTGGCATTCAACCATAATATTGTCTGGCTTGATATCTAGACGTATTTAGAAACTTAAGGGACCGAGCTGTAGTGCAATGGGAGTACCTAAATGGACGACGTCTCGATCGTGTAATTCAGCAATACCTCGCAGACTAGCCTTAAGAATCTGCTTCCGCGCTCGTGGAGGTAAGCCCTCCTTGACTAGGTTGAGGAAGTCGCTGGTCAAATATTTGTACACAAATATTCGTTGGCCGGGTATGATGTCGCATGGCAATCGGATAAATGAACACTGCTGTAACTGGGGCCATATTTTCTCATAAAAGTTATCGAAAATATCCTTTGGTATGTCTTTCAAAACAAACTGATCTTGTCCGGATCTACAAGAATCAGCTGGCCTGCCAAATGATATGGGGTGAAGGACATCGGACTTTGCCAACCAGACGCGACCCATAGATGGTCTTTCTTGAAGTAGTTCTTTGAAACGGTAACAAGATCCAGATGCCCCAATGTATTCATTAGGTGCGGACGCCATTTTGGCAATGTTCCTTCTAAACATGGTATTGTGGAGGATGCGGGTGTAGGAATGGGACAGAATTTGTTCTGCTGCGACACTGATGAAAGAAGGGAGGAAGCAGGTGCTCAAGTAGCGAGGAATGTTCGACGAATCAATTTTGGACGAGATTAAAGGGAGGGTGATGATGTAGCCAATCAATCAGACTTCGTGGTCAGCCATTTCGGCCCCACAAGATCCTCATCTTGGCAGTCAGCCCCGTCCAGCTCCAACAAATCAAGACTCGTCGTGCCAGACTCTGTCCACTGAATTACAGCAACCACCACTTATTTAGTTGGTCTATCTATATCTTCAAGATCCCACCGGGACTTGCCTTACTTGCTAATGATCCTACGGTAAAGGTGAAAAGGAAGAAAATAGAAACCGAGCTTAGCGGCATTGTACAGGAATCGTATGGCCATGTCTCTTTAGCATTGGGAAGTCCCTCCCTGAGGATCTACGGTCATTTCTCACGGCATTGACATCCTGAATCCACCTCCTAAGCTCGTGCCTCACGCCCGCTTATAGTAATGCTTCGATGCAATGACGTTCTCATCTTTATCAAGTTCAAGCGCTGAATAGTGCTTGGCAGCATCGTTCTGGCTTGGATGCTCAGCCTCTCTGTTGACCTCAATGTGAGTAAAATTCAATATCTCAACAGAGAGACACGACTCACTTCATGGCAACCTTTACTGTTTCGGGCTTCAACGTGTCTTTGTAGTTTTCGGCAACTTCGGCGAACTCGTTCTTGGTAGCCTCAGGAAGGAATGGTCGCTCCCATGTGTCTGTTTTGCTGACGTATGCGATGGTGACCTCTTTTCCCTTGGAGGTGGTCATGCTTTTGATAAACTGGCTGGCTCTGTACATCTTGTACGCAGGTGGGTAATGACGAAATGTAGGAGCGAGATAATGCGAAGTCTTTCAGTGAGGTAGTGATATATGGGAATACAATCACTATTTATGTTTTCAGTCTATTTGCTTTTAACCACGCAGCACGCAAGCACCACATCGAGCACTGTCACGTCTCAGCGGGGAAATCAATCTAGTGATAGCGGTGCGCAGAATGATTGAGGTTACCGCATGACTTGATTGGACGTATTCCTAGCCTAGTAACGCATCTGTTGTGGGTTGTGTGTTGGGAAAGCGATACGCCGTCAAAAGCCATTTAGCTTCTAGAGGAAACTTTGTATCAGTTGCCAGATGAATACAGCTCGAAAACCAGGAGCTTTGAAATAACGAGGCTGATTTCAAGGTCCGTGCGTGCTGGCGTTGAGCTAATGACTTCAAATCTGCTTATCTGGCATTGGCCCCTCATTGCTTATTCTTGCTCACGCCTGCCCATTTCTGCCTAGTTCTGCCCATTTCTGCCCACGGCGACTTGAATGTGCCCCTATAATAGTCTGCACTTGCCGTCGTTGCCCACTGCTGCCCATTATCGCCCATTATCGCCCATTATCGCCCATTGTTGCCCGCTATCTTCATCCTCTGGAGCCGACAAACCAGCGAATTAGGAACGAAAAGTCTTTCTCTATGGCGCCGATCTGTAACAGGACCATAGTCGGACTTCTTGAGAAGGAGAGAGAGAAATTTGAGGATGAAAACTATTCCCCAGAACCAACTCTTTTGCGGCGATGCAGATTTTCTTGCCAACTGGTCAAACTCAATTCATCTCACCTTGGGGAAAAGCCCAGGCAAACACGTGAGCGACAATCAAATGCAAGAGCTGTTCTGGTTCCCATCCTGGAGAAAAGCGCTGAAGTCTTCATATTGGTCTCTTTGCATGCGCCCGCCTCTAACATAGGTTCAAACCGACAGTATGGGCTTGTTCCTATGGTGATGGCTTGGTGGGAGCAAGCGATACACCCACCGAAACTGAGAGATTTTGCGCAGGATACTTGTACCAGATTCGGCCTGCCCTGCCGACTTAGCGAAGAACTACCTGCCCCTAGCAACTTCAGTTCTACGAGTCCTCGCAGTTCACCGGATAACACAGAGGATACGGATATAGAAGCTCGGAATCAGGACATTGCTGCGGAATCAAGCGGCGAAGACAAGATTCAACAGGCCTCAAACGATCAGAGCTCTTGCTTATTCAATCCTATAAATGAACTGCCTGTTGTTCCGTCAAGCAGTGACAACTCGGGTATGCCAGCCTTCCCAATGACAGTATTACTATGGATTGACGCCAGCAGACCAGCACCAATCGCAACTAGGGCAAGCACACGGCAGCAGCTTGAATGTCATCTCAAATGGTGAGGACTAGATCATTTGTACTGCAGAGTTATGGTTGTTGCTTATTGCATGGGTACTAGATACAGATCCAATTCCACGTCCCAAAGATCAGCCTCTACGATCGGTCCTATCGTTTCTGAAGCATGAATTGCTCAGTTTTCTGGACTCACCATATAACGTCTGGCAAACAGGTGCGCTTGCAAATTTCCTCCCCAGCGCATGTGCAGATCTGCGAATGGTGATGCCATGGACCGGTACACCTCTGCCGACGCTTGAAATCAGGATGGAAGTGCCAATAGAATTTAGTGAAGCCTTCATGAAATACCGACAGTCTAGGCTTCACGTGAGAAATACCGAACAGAAGGACGGCCGTAAAACCGACAACTCTGACCCGGTTCCAGCACAATGAGCCACCATCCCTTGCCACAATCTGGACCTGTCATGACAATTTCCAATTTGTTTCCGTGAACGTACACAGCTCCCACGCCGCCATCTATCTGGACAAGAAGGGCACATGCAGAGTTCCAATCCACAGAATCTAGATCGTGGATTTCGACAATATGTGGGGCTAACCTCGCACCTGCGCCCGTCAACTCTTTCACTTTGTTCTCAAGAAGCCTGTCATCATGCGCTAATTCATCGACCCGAAATTTCTGTTGTTTATCTGTTCCCTTCTCTCCATCAGCCATCGCAGACGCCAAGATAACCTGCCAACGGATTCGGGCAATACAGATGGCAAATGTGGAGTTTCGTTTTGGAGGAAGTTGGTTCCGGGATGTGAGGGCTGGCAAGTTTCCACTAGTGGTCGCAAAACTTGCTATTTCTGTCAAACTACGTTAGGGGGTCGAAGTGGGAAGGAGTAAGAGAAATCATACATGACAAATCAAGCATCATGAGGCGACATACAAGGATTCTTTCCCACAAACAGGGTGGCCCTCGCTGCTCGTCTCTCCGAACGTCCTCGGAGTTATAGCTCAGCAGTCTGCTCTGGAAAGCCTGGTCGCGGTCAATATGCGTTGAGGATTATTCGAACTGATAGCAGTATTTGGTCGACTGTAGCTACCTAATTTTGCTCGCAAATTGTTATTTCAAGTATGGAAGGCGACCCAACGTAGCTCACTCACTTTATTCAGCATTATGAGGTTCTCGGCGCGGAGATGAGAACGTCGTAGCGACAAGGAGGGGCAAACTGGAGGTGACAACAGTTAGCCCCACGCAAAGTCCAGGTCTCGTGACTGCCCGATTGGTACAAAACGGGTAGAGTATAATCACGTGATACTCTCATGACTTGGCCGAACGAATGGCCCGAGAGTTTGGACAACTAGAGGACATTGGGAGTCGCATATGAGACTTCCGTGCAGAACAGTTGCTTTGCCCAGAGTCTTTAGAACATCACAATTCCGAAAGGACAATGCAGAGGTTGGCGTTTCCCGGAATTTTCCGAAAGATTTGCTTTGGAAAAGCAATTAAAAAGGGTTGAGGGTTGTTCCAGGCACCACGGCTTTGCAATTGCCCGCATTTGCCCACTGCCGCTCATCCTGGCCCACCACTGCCCATTATCGCCCATCTACACGACGTAATTGACTATATTGGCGGCCCGCGAGTATCCCTGTATTGTCGTTTGTTTTGTCACAAGTTAGTCAATCCATCATGGGGTAGCACGTACGGAGACTGTAAACTTCGTTTTGCCAAAAGTCGAGACCAGAGATAGGCCGGCGGACGGCAAATCTCCTCTGCTCTGTTCTCAACCACTACTGCCAAAATGAGCAATGGAAAGCGTTTTAGGAGCACAGCGTGGCCTTTAAAAGCGCCAGCCTTGTCCCAGATACTCACCGCAATTTGGCACAGACCAACTCAAGACTTTCATTGACCCTCCTCCATTCCTAGATCGCTGCATGATTACTTCGGCATGGCTTGGTGTAGAGCCTTACTCCCTTGCAAGTCGCGGTGGCAGAAGCTCCTGGGGCGTAACAGCACCAATAAGGACGAACAGAATGAAGACGACCGGGCTCCATCGATTGATAGGACGCCTATTTTCGAAGAAATGACAATTGTGAGTACTGTTTGTGAGGTTGCTTCCAGCCATCTAATGCCTTCCTTGGGCAGACTGCAAAGTACATCAACGGTGAAAAAATCACGGAGCATATCGTCGTGAAGACTAAGCGCATTGATGACCGAGGACACACCTGCATCTGTAACTGTGATTCGAACAGCATTGCGGAAACCAGACATTCTGGGCTTAGCTCTATCAGCCTTTCAGATCAAAGTACAATTGTCAAGGACGCGAAGGCCCTGGAAGAACCTAAACTCTTTGCTGTTCACCCTCCATACGTTGACGACTCAACCGGCGAGCGGATGGTTAGACTCTACTACGAGCTCTCAGTAAGCCTTGATGACCTTGAGATCAGAGGCCTTGAATCTCGTATCCCAGAGTCTGACGATGATTTGATCGAGGCCCTCTGTCGTTATCGAGGAAAGGATTTTTGGGTATATGTTCCTTATTCGTATGCCAAAGCTCGAATGGTTTTAATGGGTGTATACTGAATGGTCTGGCTTCTTCATTGCTGTTATTTTCTTTTTCCGGCTACTGGCCGCTCAATGTTATCGTGAGCATTATACGAAATAGATAGTTCTATCTCCATGACAGAGTACGTCACAAACTGCTTTCATCCCTGGCAAGAAGAACATAAGTAGTGTTAATCCGCCGAGAAAAGGAGGCATGAAATCAACTTCCCCCAAGCAATGGTTCCCTTCGTATACGTTATTATTTGTATATGGATGGGAACTTTTCTTGTCTTAGTTGCCCTGAACGCCCGCTTTAAGAAGAAGCGCATTGCTGATCCTGAGTCTTTTGCTGCCTTCACTGATCATCCCCATCAAGAGTAACATGGATTCTGTATGTCCCTTGTGGACATGGTTATGGCCCCCAGTTACTAATATATTAGATGGAAACTAGGAAGCGGCAAAATACAGGGGCAGGAAGGGAAGGACTCATTCCAAGAAAGAAGGACAAAGAAGAACACAAGAGTGTAAGGGGTAGAAATCCTCATTGGTGTCCACGAGCTGATGGGTTACAGCAAGAGACTGACGACCATGCGCCCCCCCAAGACAACGACTTTGCTGGCGAGAAGCAGTCATGGATAGTTTACAGAAAAGCCCGAGATGCACCGAAAGCCAGTTGGGAAAACAAGTCACATGGCTTGCGCCTCAGGCGGCCCTGTTGCAGGTGTGGGGAGAAAGTACCAGTGGGCCTGGCCTGTCGTATTTGTCACCATGAGTCTTGTCCTGAGTGCTTGTACATGCAAGAGTGAGTTTACGGATGTTGATCAATACACGGGCCTCTATACTAGGAACTAGTTACCACTAGAATAGTACTCAACCTTAACGGTGGCGTTTGGTACTTTGTTATGGCTGAGGGGAGAGGACAGTTCCTACTTTCATGTGCTTCGGGGAGAGGCTCATCCGACTACTGTTCCCGGGAAGGTAGATACTCTATTCTTAGCTAAGGGCTGCAAGAATTCGTGTTCATGCAATCATACCATCCATGGCATGCAATCTATGTTGCATTAGATGCAAGAAGTAGGATAAAGAACCCATGTACTTGATTCACACTAGCAGGGCAGAGAGAGATACCATACCCCACGGGAGCCCCTGCATAACTTCCCTGTCTGCAGCTTGTCGTGCGTGTATCATTCCCATGCGCCACGAACTCATAGGCAGTGGTAGTTCAGAACACTCTTTGTTAAAAAAAAATAGGGAAATAATAAACTAAAAAAGAATAAAAAATGAAAAAGTCCCAGATGGCGCTTCTACTTCTATATTCGATCGTTATTCAATACCCCAGAGGCACAGGCATTCCGATCTCTCATCGCCAACACTGGAAAACAGCCATTTCCCCCGTCTTAAAGCTCCAATCCTTCTTCTTCTTATCTACTTCCTCTCTCCTTCAGGACCTTGAGTGTTCCGTTGAGTTATTGGGTTACTTCTCACCTGTCAGTCATCAATTGTCTCTTCTCTTGCCTTGACTTTGTGTCACCATCCTCGTTTACCGTACATATCCCCGGGGCAGAAAACAAAGAAAAGGACGAAGTAGTCTTGATCTAATTCCAGCTCTGTTGCAGCTTGTCACGCCTGCCCATCTGTGCCAAACTCGGTTGCCAGCATCCATCTTGCAGCATCTCTCACTTCCCGGGCTGATCTTGATTGTTGCTCTCGAACCTCGCTGGGTGTTTGATCTCTGTTCTTGTCTGGGTGCATCCTGTGAGTAGCATGTCGTCACTTGTCACGCATACTACCCCCTCTCAAATCTGTTTGGTGGGCGTCGGTCTGCCTCGAAATGGCTCATCTGCCTTCAGAAGCAACTTACAGCGGATGGCGGGGTCATGGACTCAAACCGCCGTGCTGGGTTTTGCTTCTGCCTTGATGTTCTTATCTTAATTTTGGGCCTTTCTCATTGCTGTATCTTGTATCCCCTTGAGGCTTCTGGCACACTGCACCTTTCCAAGTGCCAAACCAAAGCTAATCAGCGGCATTTGCCTGCCGTGACTTCACCAGACCTGGATCTCTGCAGCCTCATCACCATCTCGGATCACCTGGTTCTGATCCCGTTGGAAGAAAGAACAAAGACCTTCGAGATAATATATATTACCGCCATCGCAGCTGTAAACCCGCTCCGATCTCGACGGCATTTTCATGTGTTGAGCACTATCTACCTCTCAGCAATTCAGTAACCGTACTGCCTGAGAAACATCCAACTTGAGATTGTCCAAAAGATACACCTGCTTAACGAAACCTGCCGTGCCTTTATCAATACCAACCTCTCAAATTACACAATGGTGTTCAGCGCACCTGCTCCTGGGGTGGGCTCCAGTAAAAGGCCAGCGTCATGCATGCAAGACGATGTCAACGGCTGGGATAATGTCTCAGTAAGTGATACAGGCATTGAAAAGACACATGGAGCTGACTCATCTCCTACATAGCCCATGGTTCTATCCGTGCGTTCATCGATCAACATCCCTTACGCCCACTACGCCATGATCTATCTCGACAACATGGGCAGACTCAAGGTGACGGAATCTCCGTCTATCCAGGAGCAAAACGGGACTGTTTTCACAACCGAAGTCCGTGAAAGATTTTTGGAAATCCTTGGTGCCAAGATCGGGTATCAGCGCCCCATGGTTCGAAGTATGTAAACATTCCGCGCACAAGTACGATATTCTTGCTGATCTCTTTGAACAGGGCTGTCAGGTGCCGCTGCTACACCATATAGCTATGATCCTCAACAACCGCTTGGTCATTTGCCTTACCGTCAAACCAAGCGGGGCAGAAATTCCCCAGCCCACTCTATGTACGGTGTGTCGCCATCCGTCCAGTTCTCAGTTCCCGGTGAGGGAACGCCCTCTTGTGGATCAGTGGACATGGTGGGGCTCGAGATCGGTGATACTCCTAAAGTCCTCAACTACTATGAGAGATCCTTGAAGCACTTCCAGCAGTTCAACTGTCGTCAGATTGCAAAGGCATTCATTAAGTTCATCAAGCCAGGAAAGCAAGTCAAGCACCCCTATAATGGAGGTAAACCCCCGGCAGGAGGCCCTCCTGGTGAGAAGGGCGATCCAGAGAAGACAAAGCCCGAATGGTGGCCCGCCGATGTGGTTCACAAGGAGCCTGACCATCTTCGAAAGGATCGTACGTGTACCCCTCGAGAAAATCTCTGGTGTCAAGTAACTTGGCTGACAGATTTAGAACGCCTGTCTCTGTTGATTCATATCATCCGCAAGCTTGGAAGATTCGGCATCACCACGGATCAATTGCAGGAAATTGCCCACGAGTGCAAGCGGCAGCTCAGAGGCCCCCACAGTCTCCAAATATTGGACGAGGTCTTCGGAGTGAGAAGGATGGAAGAACGCTATGAAAGAGGAGAAGTTGGTAAGCGGCATCTTCTTTCCGGGAAATTCATTTTGACAGCTGTTGACGAGCCTCAGCTGCCAACAAGATCGTATATGTTGTCAACCGAGAGTCGAACCCGAAAGAGAAGGATGGCGACTCCAATGTGGATCCGGACCAGAAGCATGAGCAAGAAGATGATAGTGCGGATGAGGCACCTCCCATTCTCCACTCTGAGATGAACTCAACCAGCCTGATGTCGAGCTCAGTCGAACACACGGGCATGGCGGCACCAAGTCGCCCAATGAATATGGGAGATGACAGAAACCAGTTGTTTCCTTTACCGAAGTCGTTGAGCTTCGGTGAGACGCCCCTGGATGATCGGACCTTCTTTCCCACGACCTCTGAGTATACCGAAGATTATGCATCGCAGCAGATGCTCAGAACACCTGCAACAACGGCACTTGTCAGCCCCAATGAGACACGTGCCGCTTTCGACTACATGACACAGGCGCCCATCACCTCCACCGCCCCGGAGCAGATTTCCCACCATCGCCAAGCACCCCTGCCCATGCAGCACTCGGCCAGCTTCGACCCTTGGGCGCCTTCGTTCCGACACAATCTCTTCAACCCAATGGAGTATGGTACTGCACCCAGTCACGCCATGTCTCAGACTACTATGTCATATCAGCTTCCCATGACCCCGACGTCTCATCCCCAGGAAATGCCTCGCATGGCTCACGGCCTGCCAAACCTGCCTCAAGACAGACCTTCAAGCATGGATGGCATGAGCATGAGAGGCCCTTCTTTCCGCACCGGATCTTTGAGTCATCCCCGTGATCCATCACAGCAGGCTCCTCATTCTAGCGGATGTGGCCATCCTGACAGTTGGACTTAAATAGACCACATGCATGATCTTAAATGATTGTTTTGACCCTGCAGCCTTGGGAAGGTCACGTCACTGCATGAGTTACCAGAAGCGCTGCGTGGTGATTCACGAGCGGTTTGGATTGTTACACCACTAATCCTTCCTTTGTTTCGCAGGAGTCCCCTGAGGGCATGCCCCTTATCGTGCGTTGCCTTGTTCTGATTCTGCCCATTCATGCTTGCTATTCGGTTCAACTACGAGCTTCTGCTTTTATCAAATCTGATCAGTAAAATATTTAAAAACTCTGGCTGAAAGCTTAGCCCCCTTATCGCGTGTTGCCCTCGCCGGTATTTGCCATTCAAGGTGAGAGGGCCAAGTGTCCGTTTCCATGTCCTAGGATATCGAAAATCTAAGTACTAGCCACGTGACCCTGTGCTGACGGCTTGGCTCCTTGGCTTAGTCATCCTGGAGATCCCCCCATCAAAGAGACCAGGTATCCATTGTTTGCCAGTGGAGAAATCATCACAAGGCTGAGTCATCATCATCATCTCAGCATGCATGTTTACTTCAGAGCTTCATTCTTGAGAGCGGAAAATCGCGTAAGAGAAGTTAACCTTAGCACTCGGTGTTCTTCTGAAAACCGTTACGTGAACGTTTTCATGCATTGCCTCGTCTGGTTAGTACAATACGTTTACCTTGGGCTTGCAGATTATAAATGCTTAAAATTAACCGCATGAAGAGTTAGGAGATGGACCGAGCGGAGCACAACATTTCAGCTCTGGGATTTGAGCAGTACCTAGTTGAAGATTGTTGGCCAGCAATCCATGGGTGACATAAAGGCCAAGACAATAAGCCCACTAGGTGAATGATCCAATATAGACCACGATTGAGAGACCGAAAACCGGAAATGACAACAAGCCGACGGTTACAAGCCGTATCGGGCCATGGGACATTACCGCAGAAAAGCCAGCGCCCACAAGCAGGAGCTTTCAAGCCAAAGCTTCTTACCCAGGGACGGAAATCCAGTGACATTGGTCCTTGTCCGTAGAACAGTCGTCCGCAATCCTGGCCGGACCATGGGCCGCGGACCGTGAGCCAGGTAGGCCTGCGGACAGCCAACTGGCGTCCCAAGCGGCTCACTGCCTACGTGGGCTACTGATCTGAAGCTTATGGTCCACTATGGACATAGAACCTACGACAAAGGGCTTAATCGCTCTAATTCCTCTATTCAAAGTTCAATATCCCGTGCAATAGACGCCATTGTTTCTTCATCCACGACGAGCTCCCCATCGAATTCCATGAAAATTGTATTGGTTTCGTCCTCAATCGCGGCCTCGAAACACTGCGCTGGCGTTAGCTTGCGTAGATCCTTGTCATAAAAAGTGGCATTTTGGTTCCTCGCATCCTTTCGCGCTACCCGTTCCACCTCGGACGGGTCTGATGGGTTAACCTGGAGTTCATGGACTGTCTTCCATCCCCCATCGTCCCCCGGAGCTCGGAAGGTGATCATGACAGCTTGTGAATTGGGATTGGGCGCCGATGGTGCTCTGCGGACCTCCCGGGCGGGTCGGACGACGATGTGAGGCTTGAGAATTTTTCTGGCGCTTCGAGCCGTCGCAGCCTGACTCGACTCCGCCATCACAGTTGTAGGCTGGTCATTAGGAGACGCAGTCTCTGCTCTCGGCTCTGTGGTGATCGAGGGCTCCGGCGCTGGCATTGAACTGGCTTCGTGTTCCTCCTGGGCCATGGTCTTGGCCCAGTCCTCGAAATTAATCCGAGTTACCACCTTCTCGGCTCGGGATTCCTGTGCATCCTGATGCGGAACGGGACCAGACGACTCGGCCAACGGGCCTCGATCCTGTCGCGCTTTCTTGTCCACCGTCCCAGCTACCTGACCCTGTAACTCTCCAGAAGTCAACTGTTCCCGGGCGACGGCAGGTACATCTAGGTCATTAGAGGTGTGCGAGTGGCCCGGAATGGTCGCTTCCCGATGCAACAGTCCGTGCTCTGTGCTCGCTTCGCTTTCTGGTGGCTGCTGTGACGGAGGTAGCTCCAGCCCGCTGAAGATAATCTGTGTGACTGGCCTTGTATGCTGCCGCCCTTGTGGTTCCCGTTCTGGTGTGTGCCTTTCCTCTCGTTTTCGATTGTCTCTCCTGGTCGCGTCATAGGGCGCCCATTTTGGATCTGTCCGTTGACCTTGGCCCTTGATTTGGGCTGACTTCTTCCTCGACACCTTCAGCGGTTGACTTGCAGCTTCGACCATGACCAAGTCCGCTGGCTCCTTGACTCTACCTTCGTCAGAGTAGTTTTGCCGTGATTCCACAACCTCAGACTCGACCGGTGCAGCTGGTGTGTCCGCTTGCTCAACTATGGAATGGATCATGATATCAGGGACTGTATTTGAACCAGGAGTTGTCGGTAAGACTTCACTGCGGCCTGGACCTTCGGAGTCGAGGAGCCTGTCCTCCGGTCGAATCAGTTCGTTTTCCGTATGGTCTTCAATTGCCGGCTGCAATACATTCGAAGGAGACCGTTGGTTCGAGCTCAGCTCTACCTCCGTGAAGTCGACTCGTGTAACCCGTTGGCCTCGACCTGCCCTACCGCTCCGATTTATGTACGGTGCCCATTTCGCAACCCCTCCCTGCCGCTTATCCTTTTTCGTCATTGCCTTCTTGTTCAAGGCCTGCGTAGCTGATCTGTCTGTGGAGGCAATGCTGCCCATGTCCTGGCGCTCAGCCCCTTGGACCACCGTATCATCCAACAACTCTTGACGAGCCTCCGCTTGGTCCTTCGAACGCGCGGTGGCCGAATGCACAGTGCCCTCTTCTAGCGCGTCTTCAACATCCGTCATGCTTCGTCTAACAGATATGGCACGTTCAGTGGCGGGGTTTTCTGCCCCTCGATTTCCCTGCTCAGCGTCCTTTGCTGTTTCCGCCGCATCTCGCTCCAAGCGGTCAAGCTCATGCTGCAGCTCCATCTCCAAATCCCCTGTAGCGTCAGTTGCTGGCGGGGCTGGAGCCTCCCCGGTAGACGTTCTCTCAACAGCGCCAGTAAGGGCTCGATCTGCCCTATTAGGAGCCACTTCCAATTCCTCACCGAACTGAACGTGAGTTGCAGTCGAAGCACGCTCTGGGTCACTGTCGAAGCCGTTAAAAACTTCGCGATCATTCTGGTCGTGGTTGGTAGGAACGACTGGGCTGTCAACTTCCATATTGGTTCGTTCACCTTCCATGCTCTCTGGCTCCTCTGGATGGACGACGGGCGGTTCGGGGGTCCCATCCATGTCATAGTCATCAGTATCTTGGATCCTCGGAGGATAATCATGCGGACGACTTGATCGTCGCAGCCCCCGTCGCCTTCGTCTCTCTTGTCGTCTACGCTCCTTTGCCTCCTGCTTCCGCCGTCTTCGGTCTTGCCGTGCAGCCTCGCGATGACTCTGACCATCAATCAGGTCTTCACGGCGTCTCTGGGTTGCTGAAACAACCGGGGGCTCCGGTGCAAGTACTCTGTCATCCGGGACAAAAAGTGGCGAGTGAGGCAGGGAGCCGTCTGAAGAGGGAGAGCTTGTCCGGGCTGGGCTCAGTGGTGTAGTCTCCGGCAGCTGGCCAAAGAAGGCAAAGTAGAAACATCGTCTCACGAACAAAGTAGTGACTTTTCTATCGAGCGGTACATTGTCGGCATGCAATTCGTCGAGGAAGAGTAATCGAGCATCCTGTCTCTGAGCGTTTTGGTGGGGGAGTCCATACCGCTCATTGAGTTTTACCTCTCTGGCCATAGCCGGTTCAAAGGAAGTTGGGTGATCGAGGGGAACCGCCTCCGTGAAACACTCACAGATTCGAGTCACAAGAGACTCAAATATATCTTCTGGGTATTGGTAACGATCCGTTTTTCGGGCTTTAAGGAGTATGTCGCGCGCCATCTGTCGATCGGGCGACCGCTGGATCAGAGTCTGTATATGCGGCGAGTCAAACCCAAGGCGTTGGGCAAGCACGGCCATGTCATGCAGAATCATCTCATCCGCCTTTTCATGACCTGGTTTTGCCACAAGGTCGTTACTCCTTTGCTCTCAGGGGATCTGTGGATAGTGGCGCATCGCGTATAGCCACAGCTGCCGGTATCCGAACTCTGCTCGGATGCTTTGAGGGCCACGCTGGTGCCGGAAATCCATCTCAGATGATTGGATCAGGCAATCATCATTGTTCGGGCCCATTTGGAATGCGCCTAGGAAGGCGCTCTTGACCGAAGGGTAACGCTGGCATGGGTTAACCAGACGTTTCATGCAGTTTGCGCATGCCTCAAGATACCACATATTTTGGAAAAAGGTATACAGTGACGGTATAATATTCCGCCTGCGTTTTAACCTCTTCCATATAGCCTTGCGTTCGGACGACGTGAATTTCGAAAAGACTTCCCCGCTTAGAACCAGGCCTTTAACGACCTTCGCATCCTTGACGGAAACACTGGGAGCCAAGCCCTGCAGGGTTTCCACTGTATGCGGGTCAACCTTTAGCATCTTCGCACGGTCGCCTCTTACGTAGTAAGACCACGACTCCAGTAACGAACCCAAACCGTGGACCATCTCCTATCCGGTTCAGCTCTGGACGAGTTGCAGTGGGCGTGGAAGGAACACGTACCTCATAACAGTTCGTGGCGAGTGCTCTAGGAATGGAGCCAAACTTCATTCCCTGCAGTAGCAGCGCAGGAATGATCCGTAGCCGGTCAAAGGCAGCGCGAACATCGACCCGCGATGTAAGCTGCCGAAACCGTTTGGCTTTGTTGGCTGTCAGGCGGGCCATCCATCGTTCTTCGAACCGTGCGTTCCCCTCATATTGATACTGACGAACTTTGAGATAGACCTCGCCGTCGCTTGGAACCTTTTCATTCAAATATTTATCCACAAGTGCAGCTTGCAAATCGGAACTAATGTCTGTTGTGAGGGCGAGACGCAGGTCAGAATGGACTCTCACAGGAAAGAATTAATGAGAGGAGCAGGATAGGGCAGTGCGGGGCAGGGCGTCTAAGTCTTGCCCACCATCGAGGTAAAGATCAACCGTCCACCATTGATCACTTGGCGGTAGCAGTTCTTCCGCGGCCTTCAGATGGTGCTGTCCGTGAAGGCATTGTACCTGCCCGACGGGAAAATCAAGCAGGGGATATTGATCAGGCGGATTAGTCATGAGAGCGACGGTACTCACTCCTGCGGACGTGAGCGCCATCTCCAGGTGCTGCCTGGAGACGATGGCAGTGACATGGTTGCGAACGCCCAGCCGTCGACAACGATCGCGACTAAAAACTTTGCACAACCTTTCGACATTCTTCGGATCCAGTCCTCGAGATATGGATGGATGGGCAACTATCTGGTTAATGTAAACTTTCGCGGTACCCCTGTACTTCAAATTCCGCTCCCGAGTAAGCTGGAGTTCGGTGTCTGTCAACAAACTCCTATCCATAACGGCTGCCACAAATAGATAACGAAGATTCATACCCAGAGGAGACGAGGGACTGGTATTCTTTATATCATCAGAGTGTCATAATAACTAGCGTCTTTCATGTGGCTGATTAAGCAGCATGATACTGGGGTAACTAGCTTCCATTGCCAATGATAGAAGCACATAGAAATAGCACTCCTTGATCCTTGGTCAGAGTTGCTCAAGGGCGAGCATACCACTGTATAAAATCTACGATTTGCGCTGGTCGGCGTTTGATTTGTATTCTATCTATTAACCTGCGCGAATCCCGCGGCCGGGACAGTGACAGTGATGAGTTCAAACAAATACATCCGCGCAAGCGACTCTCAACTTCCCCATGTCCCAGACCAGTGTACCTCCGGCACACACTCATCAGGGTCACACCCTCACCAGTCAAAGGAAACGTTGCAGTTGCAGCGTAGCCGTCAAACAAGTGGGCACCAGAGCCGCGAGACCGACATCCGTTCTGGGAAGGTCATCCAGGGACCACCCAAAGCACTTGGACTTCCTCAGGTTGTAGGCTCAGATAGTTCAACGTCTCACCCGCTCATTGTTCGAGAAAAAGAGTCTCCCTGGAATACGTTCAAGCCCGTCTTTAGCTGCAAGCTTGCGGGCACAGTGATTATCGCGGCGCATAAAACCTGTCCGTCCCAGTTAGAAGCGATTCGGGCATATTCTCCGGAGCAAGCCGACGAAATGCTACGGACCTTTCAAATAATTCGACACGAAAACATCCTCTCTGCTAAAGAGTGTTACAGGGAGGGGAACAGTCTCTTTGTTTTAGTCGATGACCTTCCTCTCACTCTCGAGCACCTTGTGAGTCTCCACCCAGATCAGCATCAGGTGGCTTCGGTTATGCATCAGGTACGGACCTGCAAACAAGGCGTGAGTGATTCTATTGACATTTTGCAGATCCTTAATGGTTTACACTACCTGGTTGAGGCTGGATTTGAGCACACGTCTTTAACCTCCTCGAATATCCTCCTCGGCTCAGATGGGATAATTAAGATTGGTAGGAGTTCGCACCGTTAACTCCCTAGACTGGTTATGCTAAACAGCCTACAGCTGCATTGGAGCACTGCGTTAAGCGGCCCCGGACACAGTCTCAAGCTCAAGTGATCAATTCCCTGGCCACCATCATGATGCAGCTCATGCAGAGCTATGAAATGGATGATGGAGTAATTGGAGTTGATGATCTAGGACGCTGGCCTCCTGATTCGGAAGCCTTTGGATTTCTAGAGGCGATATCATTAGCGCGCTCAGTGGAGGTCCTAATGAAGGTGTGTACCCTGTTACATTATACAAGCTACTACCCGCCTGACAATTGTTCAGCACCCATTTGTGGCCAAAAAGCACCGACCAGGCGAACTAGTCGCGCTGGCTCGCCTGGCCCCGATTGCGACAAAGACCTTTTATTCCTGCAGAGTTTAATACGCCAGTGCCATGTTCAATACGCTGTGCCCCCAATTGTATATGGATTTATTGGAATAGCTTCAAGAGAGTGGTTCTTTAGGAGTTATGTAGATTGGAATCAAGCGTTGTTCTCTTATATCAGCTGACATCACGGCCTTGCTACCTGCATTGCTGCCTTAGACCTTGTTACCCCACGTACAAATGACCCAAGAAATCAGTATTGTGCAGTGAGTGAATCTCTTAGCATACAAGTCAGGTAGCCAGCTTGTTCTCTCTTATTTTCCACATATTATAGGCACTTGAAGATGGCAAAACACGAACAGTTACCGTACATTGAGTATGTCACTCATGTCGCAATTAGGCTTTATGGAAATTGACAAGGCACTAGATTTCTTCACTCAGAAACCGTCTCGCTCCAGGCAGATCAGACAGGGCGGTCATTTCATATTCATCGGAAACTACTGGCTTCCAAGGCCAAAACCATCATGTCTGCATTTGAGAGGGGCTTCGACGAAGGGAAGAAAGGGTCTACAAATTCCAGGACACATCCGAGGGCACTCTGGCGCGTTTTATCGAATGGTCATATACTGGTGATTATCCCGACGTCATCACTGCTACTCATCCACTTGGCAGAAAATCTGGAAAGGAAGAAATTGCAACAATTAATGTTGAGGAGGGACATACACTGACTGCGGCGGGTACCAGTTTCACCTCAGACAATCATCCGTTACTGGCGCATATCTGTTTATACATATTTTGCAGCATCTATCATATCTCAAAACTCCAGAAACTGGCTTTCGAGAAGGTGACAGCACGTTTCTCGGACTTGGAGGCACTGGATAGTCTTGACACACAGCTCGCTGTGGTAGCCGCCTTACGCTTATCTTTTCGCAAACTCTCCACGCAAGATCCTCTTTTGGACTGGATGGCTCAATACGCCGCCTATTATGTTGGCAAACTTCAGTGGCAGACGGGGTTTCATGAACTTCTGCGAGAGTCTCCAACTTTGAGTACGCGAATAGTGCTTTTCTTAAATCCGGCATCATCTCCACCTTGGAAGACACCGAAATCCAAACATGTTTACGCACGCTATTCCCCTGATCAAAGCTATGAAGATGGCTACGAGTAACCTACTATATATCAGTTGACGAGGTCTTGGACCCTTGCAATTCTCTATAGCCTCTATTTGTCTGAAGTACACAATGGTGTGCGTCAGGGAAAGTGATGGTGCAGTGTTTTCTTGTTTGCGCAAGACTTTCTCATTTCAATCACATGATACAAAAGGATCACGTGCTTACCTGCTTTCACTTGAGCCCACACCAAACCATAGCTAGATAACTCTCTTTAGCTGGCAGCATCCTCATTTCTACCTCAAATTTTAGTGTCTAATCCCGCATCCCTGTCGTATCGATGGTCACTGTTGGCGTAAACCCTTCAGGTATATAGGTACTGCAGAAGACTGGGGGCGACCGCGGACCTACAAGTTCGAGTGGAGCCAGGTCTTCAGTAAACCGTCGCGCCATTTTCGGCGCGTTTCTCCACAGCCGGTGTTGACCCACCACTCCAATTTGAAGTGATCGCCACGCCGTTTTGGAGAGCCACAAGCCGATTTTATCAAGACGACATCTAGCCACGAGACTGTACTGTGCACCTTATCCACGGCTGCCGGGTCTTGGATAAACCGGTAAGAAGTTTACATACAGCCATATTACTATTTGGGTTCGCTGACATAGGTGCTAGTAGTTTCAAACTAGAATCTGGCACGTCGGGGAACACAGATACAACATATTGGACGTATGAATCCGTCCCATACTAAGATTTCCTACGATTGTTAAATCTGCTGGAACTCGGGTCAGGAAATTATCTGTTTGTTATCATTGAAGTCTATATGTGCAGAATGTATTAAACCAAAGTGATGGCCTGCATCAACTATCACCAGATTCAGACCCCGCGTCTAATTTTTCAGTCACTCCGCCACTAAAATCTGTTGGGCTCTTCTTAACTGGAGGTGGATAGTGTCGATCCTATCACTGTAAGCTTCCTGGTCGATCAGAACTATGGTCATTCGCACCAGTTCTTGCAAGATAGGCAAAAATTCGTCGAATGAGTCAGTACTGAAGGTAAATGTTCGGCCATCTTCCCGCGTCCGTAGGATAACACAGACATCTGCATCACACTCAATGCCATATTTATGGGCACTCTTAAATAAACTCTTCCGGAGTCTGCATCTTTGCTGACCTTTTGCCCGCGGACTATCCGACTGGCAAGGTCTTGCTATATTTTGACGATCCATTTCCTTTCTTCAAGCAAAAATAGAAGACCAGAAGCGCTGCTGGGCGATATCAAGGGAACGAAGATATCACAGGGAATGCCTCTTGACTCGAGGACAAAGTCATGTCTTTATATCGTTCACGTTCTGTCGATGGCTTGTTTCAAGTGAGATTGAGGACCACAATTCTTTTGACCTAGAGAACCCTAAAGAAACCAATGGGCTACTGTCTATTCAATTCTCTCGGCTGATGTAATGAGTGTGATGTTGAATCACAGGAGTCTGTCAAAGACACGCACCAGTCTCCTACTACTTAAAGGCACCAAGCCCCTGGGAGATCTTTAATCTTGCTGCATCTTCTTTTATCTCGTCTAAGTAAAATGGAATTTATGATTTTGTACGCTATTGCCGCAGGCGGCATTTTCTTGCTTCTAGTTCTGGTACGAATTGCTCCGTCGTTCAAACCACTAGCAGAAGCTCTCTCCAGGTTGGTTGCGAAGCATCTTGCCTATCCGCATCTCCTGGGTCGTCATCAACTTATAGGACCTTGGACTCGGCTGGCCGCTTTGCTTTCTCTTGCGTATGGAGTTATCAATATTTTCTTCGTGACATTTCGCGCTTCATCAACCAGCGAAATTGGTCGGCGAGCTGGGACCTTGTCGCTTCTTAACATGGCACTTCTCTACCCCTTCATGCAGCTTGGTCTCTTTGCTGATGTCATTGGTCTTTCATTCGACACCTGCCGCCGTGTCCACGGGGCAGCAGCATGGATGACGTCGGTGCTTCTCGCCTTACACATCGTCGCAGCCATACTTGACCAGCAGAAGTTCTCGCTCCACGAACAAAGCAACCTTTTTGCTGTTATTGTATGATGAAAGAAACAACCGTGGGGTGTCCTTAACTGATCTGTTGCAGGGGGCTGGGTCACTAGTGGCTTTAATGCTGTTCTCGCTTTCATTATTCCGCCGTCTTTCGTTCAAGCTCTTTTTGCGTACACATCAAGCGCTCGCTACAGTGTGCATCTACATGACCTGGCGACACCTTCCCTCTGAATCAATATTCCCTCGAGTCTACCTTTATGTTCCACTTGCCATACTGCTCTTGTCAACTTTCCTGCACGTCCTACTATTCCTCTATCAAAACGGTATCCTTCCCTCTCGGACTTATCCTTATGCATCAGTCATGTGCAGGAAGAAAAGCGAAAATACTGAGGAATCCGACGAAGACCCTGCTGAGGGTACGACATTGAAGATACGTGTGGTGCTTCCAAGGCCAATGCACGTGAAGGCGGGCCAGTATGTGAACCTCTGGATGCCCTCCGTCAGTTTTTCTTCGTGGCTTCAATGTCATCCGTTCATGGTAACGTCCTGGTCACCTGGAAAACAAGACGTTTTGGACCTGTTCATGCAGACCCGTCATGGCCTAACAGAGAAGCTACGAGCGCGCGCAGCTCTGGAGGGAACGGCATCATTTACGGCATTTGTGAGCGGTCCGTATGGCAGAAGTAAGCCAGTAGGTGAGTACGAGAGCGTACTAGCAGTTGCTAGTGACTTTGGTATTGCTGGTGTCATTCCATACATCAAGCGACTCCTCTATGGCTACAACACGTCTTCGGTACGGGTTCGTCGGGTGCACCTGGTGTGGCAGGTGCAGACGATGGGTAAGTGAATGTGGCCTTTGGGATATTTGACGCTAAAGGCACCCAGATATTGCGGTTGCCGCTGAACCGTTGTTGAACAGTCTCCTGGATGACGATATCCTCGACGACGGCTATGTATGTCAACCTTCTGCGGGCTCGGCTGGCTTACGGCTAACGGGGCATAGATTCTCGAGATGTCGTTCTATGTGGAGTATAAGACAAAAGCCGGGAAAGGAAGGCCTTTCGGAGACCATCACCGCGCAACTATCTACAATGGTTTTCCAGATTACGAGAGTATCATATCGACCGAAGCCACCGGCGAACATATCGAACGAGTTTCCAACACTCAAGAGGAAAGAGGTAAATTACTAGTACTGAGTGAGTTGGTCCGCTACTTCTTGTGGTATCTTATGCTAAGCGGCCCCAGTTTCAGCAAAGGATGAACTGCAAGATCATTTGACGGTGATCGTGAGGAAGTATCTCGACCAGAGGGTCAAATTTCATAAGGTGGAATTCCAACCCTCCTAAGCCCCAGGGTATTGTGTGTTTCATTTGGTTGCGTGGTGGGACCAATGGTCACAAAGATTGAGGAAGAAGCTGGGAGAGCAATACGGAGTAAAGAATAAATGAAATTCAGAAAGTCATCACTTTTATTGAAGATCTGATAGAGTGAGCGAATCATCTTTGAGTTTATTTTTTAAATTAAACCATTTATTTTATTTAATACTGCGCAGCTTTTTTATTTTATTTATTTTTATTTCTAATTTATTTAACTTTTATTTAGTTTTTTATTTTATTGTATTTCTATATTTTTTTGGTCTAAATATCATATTTTCGACTGTTTACGTTTATTAACTAGTATTTTACTGCTTTTGCTTTGCTATTTCACCTGCTATCTTATATTGCTTACTGGGGTTTATTTTTTATTATCATTTTTAATTATTTAATTTTATAGATTATTTTCTCTTCTTTATTTTCTTTCCACTTTTACTTTTGACTTTTTGTGTGATTTGAAGCTGATCCCAGCAGGGCTTCCCTCTTCCAATGTTCCCCTTTCAACTGTTCTATACTTTGCACTTTTCCATCCTTTGCTTTTTCGTGGCCTAGATTTACGAAGTCCACAATCCCTTTCATTGCTTTGACCGGCTGTAGACCTGCATGTATGCAGGTTCCCCACCAGACAGAATAAGGAGCTTATGGTGATCATACTGCAGTGTAAAAATCAAGCTTTTCCTCATCGGGGGAATGCATCTGGGGTGAGGTAATGAACAGTATTTCTTGGCAGTGGGGTGGTGGGGTGAGAGAGTGTTTCATCTCTCCCATAACTGTCATTCCAACCTGGTCTGAATCTAAGTCTGGAAGCGGCGCGACTGCTCTTTTGCTCCCTGTTGAACTGTCTTAATGCCAAAGCTCGGCGGTCTCGAGGCCATGGGTTACCTCAGTGGCCCTCAGGAAATCGCGGCCATCGAGGAAGTGTGGCCTCCGCAGAATATGGCGGCCCTTTGACCCTGTTAAAAAAGTATTTATTTCCCCAGCAAGCAGCAACGTGCCAGCACCTTCAGCCATTCATTTCGGTCGACTTTCTTTTCTTTCCACCTTACATCTTCCCAGTACGCTCTTTCGCTTTCCTTTCCTTTATTCTCTGACTCTCTGCACATCGCCGCTCGCATACTGCAGCCTCTGATATCATCGGCGGTACATTGGTGAGATTGGTGCAACTCAGGATGCTATCACTGAAAATTGAATTAAGAGTATATCCAGCGATATCGCTTCAACGCTCACTGCTGATCGCAATAGGAATCCTACGCGAGTGCAGATGATAACCTGGACGAAGTCGTCTTTCTACGCTTGTTGAGCAGGCATCCAAAGGTATATTTACCGAACTAATTGGCTGTGCATGATACAAGCTCCTGTATCGCAGATAAAAGCTTGCCTCAGCCTTATCTTGTCTGTCCTATCCAGCCTCACCCCCGCGGAAGCACTCCTGCTGCTCCAAGAAGTTCACAATGATTCAGAGGCGTTGGATACTTTCCAGGTTTGGAATGAAAGTTTGTTACAGGCTTCGGATCCAATCCGAGATGAGCCGCACCCCACATGGGAAACGGATGGTCTGAGTTGAATCCCTTCTCTCCTAAGATGATCTGCGGCTAAGCCTTGTCGATCTAACAGGGTTATCACTTCCCTGGGATGAATATATAGATATCCCTCACGACGACGAATATTATTATACCCAGCCTGCATCCTTTATTAATAGTGACCGTCAAAGCATACCAGCCGCGCTGCTCGGCCCAGGCAAATTAGACAAGGAAATAATTGAATGGATTCTCCATCGTGATCCTTATACGGTTAGCTATAAAGATAAGGAAAATCAAACCCAAGTTAAGGAGGAAGCGTGCGAGGGGAAGCCTTTGATATGTGACATGCAGGATCAATCTCCTCCGGAGACCACCCACACGACGACTAGGAAGCGCTCATGTTCGCCCTCGTCATCCTCAACCAATAATGTTGGAATCTCCCTAAAAGGAGCTTCCGCACCGTCTAAAGTGGAGAAAAAAATTCCTAAGAAAAGCAGAGCGGTTTTGAAGGCTTTGAAGAAAGCCAACCTAGCATCAGCAGGGATCAGGGTCCCTAGCAACGGCTCAGAAATCATGTTAGATCTGAACCTGCCCACTTCGGCTATTGGTGCGGCTACTCCAGTGTTCGTATGTGGGATTGAAGAGGAAGCCATCACTCTGATCCAGTCTATGTACAAAACCACCGTCGGCAAACCATTAGACGCTGCTCATGCACAGACGGTCAAGACAGCAGCCAGCAGTCGTCTCTGTATTGGAGTGGCAGAGTTCGCCAAAAGTATTATGGACTCTCTGAAGATCAACGAATACAAAGAATGCTCATTTCAGATTCCTCTCTATTGCTTCACATCGCTGCAAGAAGCGTGTGTGGCCTATTACAAAGTCTTATGGCCAAGTAAAAGCGTCAAGTGGAAGCCGGAATCAGCAATCAATTACATGCGTCAACACATGGTGCAAGTGCTGTTTTATCTGACCTTTGAAGACTTTGTCAGAGAAATATGTCTGAGAGAGCAAGACGGATCGCTGTCTATCAATCAACAAAGAAGGACAATACGGACTGTTGCCGGCGACTGGGTCCTACAAGCCGCTTACGGTGATGTGGATACTAAAGCAGCGCGGAAACACGTCGCAGAGGAGTGCCGCTGGGGCCATCGGTGGTGGAAGGTTGCAAGCTATGATGGATTAGGTCTCCTACTCCTCGCTAGTGATGGTCTGGCTAAGTATATGTATTTTGAGCTTTCCCGTGACGTCCGCAAACCCTACTGATCCAGTGGACAGAGGAAATACGCAGTTTCAACTTGGAATGGTCGAAGCACTTGCCATTTATATATGGAACACGCTCCCGAACCTTGTGACTTTGCTTCAATCACTTGCAAGCGTTACCCAGAATATAATGCTTGGAAGGAGCCTTACTGTCTGCGAGTGCAGTGAGATAACGAATCTGCTTGAAGGGGTAGCCGAGTCGGATTTGTACAATCACTGTTATCCAGAGAGATGGGAACGATGCACTCCAGAAGAGGCGGCGAAATCTGCAGCTACCGAGTTTAGGCGTTCTGCAATATGTTTAGCCACGAAGCTGCGCGCAGACGACACGACGGGGATATGTCATGCATAAGGAGCGGTTCTTAAAGGTGATGGTGTGATGTACAGGGTCCCGCGAGGATATCTGCTTTGCATGTTATTCCAGTGATTTCGTCGTTAATGTAACTTATGGTTTTGCTTCCTTTCCTGTTCATTTTTAGATGATGTTAAACTCAGTATAAACTTTGCGGGGAAATGCATGCAGCCACGATTTGGCGGTTGATCTTTGGCTACGACTCTCCACTAGAGGTTATCCGTTCCTAGCTGCGCCACGGATCGCCAGGGGACACTTTCCTTCCGAACCTTGGAACCTACAAGCTCATATCCGGGGCAGAAAGTACCTTTCAATCTAGGCTTTCTGGGGCAATAATCTGTGCGATAACGAGAGGATATAACGAACCAGATCGACAAAATTTTGCGACCACAAAACTTTTTGTCGTTCACGTGATTTAGAGGCAAGCTGGTAATTACTAGAATCTTCCACGGCAAGTGGATCCTACTGGGCCGTGGGACCTTCCCAGCGGACCCTTCTGGATATTCCCACTTCCAGTTCCAAAATTCTCTTCCATTATTTACCTGTCACTGGAAAGCCAGGTTGCGGTACGTACCAGAGCTACATCATGGAAGAGGTCAGTCAGTGTAGTTATCATCTGGATCAAGCACTGCTCTCTAACAAGCGTCCTGACAGCAGAGCCTCGCAGAAGTTCAGAAAAATTTGGTGGATGGAATCAATAGATTACTTTCCTCTTACCCTCACGATCGCCAACGTATCCGCAACTGGTGGGCTGACCTTGCACCATCAGTGGAATCTCAACTCGAGCAAACAACAGTGGAAGACCGTCCTTGCAGCAACAGCTTCATGGAGGGAAAAGTGCCAGAAGCATTGTCTGCTCCACCAAGCCTTGTTGATGACTCTGAGAGTCTTGGAGGAACTCCGCGCGACTCACTCTGTCCTGACACCCCATGTTTCAAGTCTCTTACTTACGCGGAGAAGCAAGCTGTAGACCATGCATCGAGATTCTTTCCAGATGACACTGTGGGAGATCAATGTCAGGGTTCTGGAGAAGTATTCTGCCCGCCTCCGAACCTTACTTCGGTGGGCATTGAACACTCAATTTCGCATGGTTGGTTTTTCAACACGACCATGAAGCCACCAATAACACTGAGGAAGCTAACAGCCCGCAGATGAACTGGATAGTTTTGATGTAGAGTCCTCAGTGCTCGATTTAGACGACTATGCTATCATGTTTTCACCACGTGCAGAAGAGCCAACAATGGACCAACGCGCTGGTCTGCTTCAGAATAGTGCTGCGCGGGATGATCAGCTTCTAGGCAGCGATTCAGGTGACGCCCCGAACTGTGTGCTAGAGAAAGAGCTCTGTCTGTCTCAGCTGTCAAGCGCACACGATCGTGAGTACGCCAAAGGGACATCATCATCTGGCACTGATCCTTCCCTGGACGTCAATGTTGATAGCAGTATTAGTGAGTTGAATAAGATTGACAGTCCAGCAGCAGAACAACCGTGCTCTGGAAATGACATTGACAGTCCGACAGCGGACGAGGCAATTCCCGACGAAGACTCTGCAGGTCCATCCGAACCTCCATCCGATCAACGCAAGCCAGGAAGATCCAAATGTCAGCGCAGCAAGAAACGCAATGGCAGTGGAGTAGGTTCGCAGCGGAAAAAGGCGAGGTTAGGACAGGCTAAACTGCTAACGGAATTCGTGGGTTGTAAAATTTCTGCGCAGGAGATATACAGGCGTTTCGCTGGAAACTGCAAGAGCGCCGACAGTCCTGAGATTCTCACTAACCTTTTTTTCTCGATTGCTTGCCAAGAAGCTTTCGTGCAGCTCAAGAAAGCGATTCCTCAGCTCCGCGGCAGTATGAAGATTTCGTTTTCTGCCAAAACAGTGTTCGATAACCTGAAGTCTTTGGAACAAGTGGCCTCCAACCTGACTGCTGGACGCATCATGCAACGCCATCTTCTCGTGGAGCTGGTGGAACATCGGATCCAACTGGAGGATAAGTATAAACCCGAGAACTATCGGCGGGCGAAGATGATCAGGGAGGACAAACGGCGTTTAGAGCGCTCTGACGGGCTGGCCCTGGATGAGATGATAAGGGAAGCATATCCGACAGTGATAAAGGGTTCAGATGAGTATAACAAATCTCGAACCACGCTGAGGAACAATCTGAGTAGTGGTCGGAATCCGCACACCCTCGCCCATGAATTTGGGAGACATATCCTCGACCTGATACCAGTAGGCGAGGGGCTCGGAAAGTCGAGCATAACGGACAACCAGTAAGAGCTTCCCCAGGGAGCAGCTCATATCATTCCACTAATGGCAACAGATGGGCTAGGGTTCGCCATGATGACTTCAAGCTCTTCATTTCGGTTCTTAAAGAGAAGCGAGGTCGCTTCTTGCGTCAATGCGCTTCGTGCCTAGATTCATTTTTTGATGTTAGCGACGACAACTCCAATTGCAACAGAAGATATCTCCTGGAGGACGTGGACGAAAGTTCCGTGACAGCCGAGAGATACGACTCCTCTGGTCTGGTAGACATGCTTGAAATGGTGGTTGATGACCAGCGTGGTTAATCAGTCCATGCAACTGTCGGTTGACGGCGGTAGTATAAGACACTCGTATAGAAAGGTTGATTTTATGGCGTTTTCATGATTCACGCGTAGAGTTTTGAACTTCTTGTGAGACCAAGTATGAAAGCAAAGAGCGACATTATGGTTCAATGAAGATTCAGAGGATAGTTGCAATTTGATCAGCATAGTCGGATATCTCATTGTGTCGTTGTCGAACATGTCTTCTGAGTACTGTTCAATATGTTTAAGCGTTGAACATGTTGTGGATTGTGTTGAACACATGTTGAACACTTCAAGCAAAAAGGGTGATGGGCAAAAATTTGCCACGACTCCCGGAGGACCTGGAAGGGAAGCGGCTTCTTTGGAGATCCATTGTTTTCTGTGGGACTCGTATTTTCCCTGCGGCCAATGTTAAGACGATTGAGATGGGTTCGCGATGCCATTGGTCGTTGGACTAGTGCTAGGGTCAAAATAGACGAGCTGACTAGGTCATGTGTAAGACAAGCGTCAGCGAGGGCATTCTTGCAGATGACTGATTGGATTAATCCTGTACACTTATGCAATTCTGAATAACTATCCCAAATTCACTCATGCGCCCATCAAGTACTCCAAATTCATCCAATCAGACGAGAGCGAGTTACACAATAAATGTACAGGTTCCTTCCTATATGCGCTCTTTCCGTCGCCTACAGTAAGCGGAGTGCGGCGTAATAATAAATTGTTGAGAATGACTTAAGTATTAAAGTAACTTGCGACGGGAGAAGGCAAGTTTGTTAATGGTCAACCAAGAGCATTCTGGATATAGAGCGCCTTTTATTTTCCTTTGCCCAAGTCGATATTCAGCATTCAACCATCCCGAGCCGAATCTTTACATGAGCAGGCAAGACATTCTGGCTTTAATCAATCCTTGAACTGTGCCCACTCGGCGAAATCCCGGAAGCTGGAGGTCTCTTGCAATGGTCCTATCGTCGTCGTCACATAACCCGTTACGTACCGAGCCAAGTTACGGGCTGCCTCCGACTCTTGCTCAGAGATGAAACAGAACATCGGCGCCAACTCATCAATAAGAGCAGCAGTCAAAGGGGACGTTTCCAGAGCGTTCTGAAATTTCTGGAAGGAAAGTAACTTCAAGGATTCCCATTTATATTTAGCCGCATGAATGTAGATCCAAGAGTGGATGAAGAGTGTAGGTAAGAGTGTGCGACTCTCCCTAGGGTGCTTTGGCACCACGACTGCGAACGGTCCATCGAAGGCTTGGGCGTTCGCCTCTTCCAATCGTAGTGACACCTGAGAGCTATTCTGTGAAGCAAGGACCGTCTCTGAGATTGAATAGTTCCCCGTATAGACGTACTCACAGTAAAGTGCAAAAGTGTCCAGATCGATATTCCTCACGACGATCGGCTCTTCACCTTGTATTCTTCCAGGAATATCTAAATCCTCCCTTAGAGGCTGTGGAAAACGCTCAACGACGGCTGAATGTATTGATAACCGAATTTGTTCTGAGCCCACGAGGATACACAAGGGCTGAGACCTGAAGATGCTACTTTCCGTCAGTTGCTTGCTTCCTCTCATTGTAAATTCCTGTGGACCACGAACTAGTCTGGCTGATGATTCATGCTGATTTGTGGGACGGGCTGACAGTTATCTGGTAAAGCGTTCAAAAACGGACCGGGACATGCTCTTTTTACTGAGGTAGTAATAGGCACGCATAGATGGCAAGTTGCTCCTGCGCCTCAGTTTTGGGCTTGTCTCATACAATCAGGGAAGGACATCAGGAAGCGGACGGCTTGAGCTTACTATTATATGTAACTCTATTACCCCTGATTGTGCGTCGACACCAAGCCACAATCAGAGTGCTGACTCCCCTAAGTGATGACCTGCATCGCTTCTGATTTGTTCACCAGATATGCTTTATCCAGTTTAGTGTACAATCAGGCATAAAAGTCTTGCGGGAGCAAAAGTTTTGACCAATTGCCCTTGCCTACGTAGTACATATCAACAGTCCGACTTCACTGTCCTTTCGCAAGGTGGCTGGACATTCATAACCGTGGGAAAGTCTGTCCACGTGACCTGGCAACTCGCAAATTCTCCTCTTTATCTTTCACTTCTACGGCCAAGTTCATGACTATCATTTTCTCCGAGTCTGAAATATAATTATTACCGTCTCATCAGTAATGGAGATCAAAGGGAACGTCTGTGTGATACCTGACGATCAATTCTTGCGGGAGCAAAAGTTAATGACCAATTTGGTGTTGACTAACAGAGTACACTAAAGAACTAGACGCAAAATCAAAAGAATCTTTCAAGCTTAACCAGCCTAGTCCGATGCCACTGGAAGCAACGCGCCCAAATGAGATCACAGAGAAAAGCGTTGATTCCCATCAGTTGCTTTTTCTTCAGCCTCTCCGAACTCCCTTCCAGCCTGCCCAAGTCTCCGCAGCGAGTACTTAGAACCATTAGAAGCTCCCAGCAGATTATCACCAGACGTTGACCTTCAGCGTTTTCTCGATGGATCCAAGGCCACTGCGTTTGCAAGTCAGCAGGTCATTCGAAACATGTGCCTAACTCGAGTATGCACCTGAATGTGACTGGGAGCTAATACTCCCATTGATCCAGTTCTATTGAGGATACCACCGACTCTACCGTGCGATGATCTTCCCACAACAGCTGCACGACGGCTTCTGCATTCCGAAGGCATTCAAAATCCTCATCCTTGAACAACAGCAAAGGGCCATTGTAAAGAAAATTGTCTCCCTTATCAAAGAGGATCTGGTGAGCTGTCTCCACATTGAACCATTTCAATATATCGTATACGACGGGCACGTTCTGAAACCAAGCACGGTCGGCCAGATCCTGACTTTTCTTGCATTCGAGAGGCATCTCTTCTCCGATCATTCGCAGTGCTCCGTGAGGACAGATCTTTATGGAATCTTTCCTCACCACAAGCTCCGTTTTCTTGATGGTAGCCAAATAGGTCTGACTAGCTTTTCTTACCACCTCAGGTTTCCCTGAGGTTGCACACTTTTTAACCCACTCCTTGAGGGGCAAAAAGTATTCCGGACTGCAGCGATGGCAGCTGTCAAGACTGCCGAAATGATGCTTCATCTCTCCTGTTTCAAATACTGGAAAAGTTCCTAGTGAGCAGCTGCTTCCAATCGATCTTGGAGGTGAAGGTACACGCCCTTTTCGAGTCAATGATCTGACTATATATATCTGATGATTGTTTTACAATACCTTGGCCCCTTCATTCTTCCCGTCGTCCCGTTCATTATTGGGTCCTCTTCCAGACAAGATCAGCTGGAATGAAATGTTGTGAATGCTTCATTCCTCATATCCTACGGTTCTTTAGGCATTTTCCACCAGGATCTTCGTCCGGAAAACATCTTGTGGAATGTTGAGTTCAAACGAGCGTTGATCATTGATGAACTGGCTACTCCTCAATTCTTCATGCGATTAATTAGAAGCATTTGCAATCTACAAGCCCAAGATGACCTACGTAATAACCAGACGAGGCAATGCATGCTAACGTCACGTAACAGCTTCAGGAGAACACCGAGTGCTAGGATTAACTTCTCTTGCGTGATTTGTGTCCGCTCTCACGTACCAAGCTCAGAGGCAAACATGCTGGTTTACTGACCGCCCAATAATACGACGGAGGCTCTTAAAGTTTAGTACATTGGAGACTTTCTCTACTCTTCAGAGGCTGGGAGTGTGTGTGCACCCTACCCGTACAAGTCTCTTTACATCGTCACTGCCGTCGGGGCAAATATGGCGCTCCAGATCATTTGTGTGTATGCGACGATGGCCTCAGAAGGCTGAGTGTTCCACCAACCATGTATAAGCTCCCCGTAACAAGGACTTGTATTCCATCTTCACGATCTCCTATTTCCCTTGCAAGCCTTACTGCCCCCTCAATCGTTGGTGCGGTTTTAACCATGGCCTGCGGATCAAGTTCCTTCCACACCGAGGTGTACAAAGCGCATACATCATGTAATAGTGACTCAGAGTCTTTGATGGTTCGGTCTGCCCATACAACGTAAATTCATCAGTCAAGATCTGCAGAAGATTCCTCCTATTTTTACTTACCGATAGGGTCACCATCTTTCTCTTGATATGTGGTAAAAATGACATGGCCAGGTTTCACCTTGTTTCTAAAGAGTGCGTGCGCTAAAGATCGCACGAGCGCCACTCCATCTCGCTCTTCTGACAGATGGCTGAAAATAAGGGCGCGGCACCTTCCTATCTTAGCTGACAATCATTTTTAAATTGTGTTTGGTTGACTTACTTCTGCTCATTGTTCACGTTCCTGGCAAACCATTCTGCAGTTTGGTCTAAACTGAGAACGTTGTGCGCCCCATCCACAAACCATTGTAACTTCCCTTCATCTATAATCTCAAATCTCCCTGTGAGCCGGAAACTTTGCACACCATGGTAGATGTCTGCATCACTAAGTGTATGGCCGGGTGTCTTGGTTCGAAGAAATGCTTTAGTGAGCTCAAGCGCTAAGGAGCAGTTCAATCGTTGTACTGGGACGCTGAGTACTCTACCATCGGTGGGAAGACACTCATTTGCTGGCACGAACGTCAAAGTTGTGCCTTTATCAAGAGCACGCTTTCGCATAACTTCCGCGGGCCCAGGGTCCTGGGTTACGGAAAAGGCAGGTGCACCTGGTTTAAATATTCCTGCTTTGTGCCAAGCAATTGTCTCGATGGTAGGTCCGAGCTGTGCAACATGGTCCATTCCAAGAGACGTGATTCCAGTTACAACGGGATTTCGTATTACGTTTGTTGCATCATACTCTCCGCCATGGTGGACCTCGAATATTGCCGCATCAACCTCTTCTTTGATGAAGGTGTGGAAAGCCAGTAGGGCGAGAAACTGCAGGTATCGGGGCTGCTTTGCGACTCCCGCACTCAGTTCTATATCCGCAGGCATAATGCGATCCCACACTTCGAAGAAATATCGGGTAAACAGTTCTTCCGTGACTGGATGGTCATCAATTTGTATTCGTTCGCGAACGCATTGCAAATGTGGCCCGGTATAGAGCCCAATCTTCTTGGGAAACCCTGTTCTCACGCTATGTGCACGAAGGAAGCTGCGTGTAAAAGCGCAGGTGCTACCCTTCCCCTTCGTGCCGCTGACATGGATGACATTCAACCTGTTTACCGCGTTATCCTAGAACAGGTCAATCGCCGGCGTATCGCAGTTCATGGATAATTCGTACTGAGTGTCCTAAACTTTGCAGCCATTCCTTCATTCCAACCAAGCTCGGCACGCCTTTGAGAGAATTCCCATTCACTGTCGTGGTATCTTGAATGGTGGAAACCGGAGTCGTCAGACTCGTCGGTCGGCTCGTCGGTCGGGCTTTACGTCTTCTGGTTTCAAGGAGTTTGAGTGCGTTCTTCGCGTTGTTAGTCCTGGTATCAAAACTCAATGAGAGATATACCTCGTAAGTGCGTTTCATTTTGGCTTATATGATGGTTTAACCTCTGGTTGACGATTGCACAACCGCTCGAGGTTGCCTTCGCTCCTCTATCTGTCATCTTAGCTGGCACGTGGCACGCTAGTGGTTGGTCCATCGTGCCCCGCAACGGCTACGACGGCCCAACCGACCCATTGACAATTTACCAGTGATGCACGAAGAGGGTATAAAGTCATTTGCACGGTGCTTGCTACTGAAGGAAGGATTTCAGTTGTTGGCTGAAAATCAGCACCTAAACGAAACTTCATACATGACATAAAAAGAAATCGTCAAGCTTTTCTCACTCAGAGACCTTGCGTGGCTTTGGTAATGTAGTCATGCCAATGGGAATTGAAAATGGGAATCCAATATATGCGAGCCTCTGATTCCATATCTGATCTCGCCTCTTGCAGTACATGCGCGCCATCTGTCTCACACCCGGCCATTAAAAGCGCATGAGCGACAGAGCAACGCACGAGACTAGCATTGAAACTCTTATCCTGGCCCAGGCGCCGCAAGGCTGATAAAGCGTTTCTCCAGCGTGAAATCGCTTGCTCCCACTTAAACTGCTTATGAGAATTCCTTGCCAGTGAAATCCAGAGGCGAAAAACGTAGAATTGAGCATTGTAGTCCGGTTCATCAGAAGATGAAAAAGCACGTTGAAGCTCAACCAGAAGCTCTTCGGCCTGTGCAAACATATTCCGTTCCAGGTAGGTCTCTGCGAGCGACATTCTTAGCCGTCGGCCAGTTGCAATGTCTTGAGTCCCCTTCTCTCTCATCGGAGTTAACTCGAGAAGCAGGAGCTTTTCAGCCTCAAGCGGCTGGCCCAGTTCGCAACGTAGGTCTGCCACTTCTGAAAGGAGTACCCGGTACCACCCAGTTCCCTCAAAGTACTCATCAAGAAGGCAGCCTTGAAGAATTCCATCAAGTAGAGTCAAGGCTTCATGGAAGAGGCCCTGGAGTCGAAGGATCTTGCCCAGAGTTATGTCTCGGGCTCTTGATGTGATTTTTTCAAGAGAGGAAGGGACAACGTCCAGCGGCTGCCACTCTGTCAACTCCGCTTTCGCTTCGACGAGTTTCTGTTGGCGGACTAGATTCTCCGCGAATGAAATGACAAGCTCCCCACGTTGGGCGTTATATCTCCTACTCAATTCCAACTCTCTCTCTTTGGGTGCAGCCGCGTCGTGCAAGAACCTATGCAGGGCGCTCTCCGACTCCTTTAATTTTCCCGACATTCTCATTACCGAGCTCTCCCTAAACGCGAGCCAGGCATTAAGGAATCGATCATTGTCACCTTCGAGGAGCTTTTTGGTACGGTCAATTGCCTCGACCTTCCATTTTGCATTCGAAAATCGTGAAGCGGCGAGAAGAGTCGATGAGAGTTCGTGCCGGAAGGAGGCATGGTCGCCGTGCTCCAGACACATTGCATCATATTCAGAAAGGGCTCGGCTCAGGTGGGGTAACAGCTTTCTTCCAAACTCTCCATTTCTGTGATAGGCATTAGCTGTTGACTCCCGAAGAGAAAAGAAAGAACCTACTGCGGCTCAAGGAAGCGGTTCCTCGGAAACGCATGACAAACGAGCAGAAGAGCTTGCCATCGCCATTTCCTCACGTCGGACGGCGACAACCGTTTTATAGCACAGTACTGGACAAGCGGATGAATGGAAAAGCTCCTAAGCCCTTCGGATTCTTTGTTGCAGGAAATCAGCGAGAAAGAAAGCAGCTTCTCCACGGCCGTATCAAACTCAAAATCTCCTTGGATGACCTGTATCAATTGTCTCTCCACCCCTTCCATTTCCGCATCTACCTCAGTCATCTCACCATCCTCACCCCATCTTCTTTGGGGAGAGGAGCCTCGATGTAGAAGCATTTCCGGAATCGAAGACGGTTCCAGAAAGGAGAACAGAAGAAGAAGTGAGGCGGCTCCTGAGGACTCTCGCTCCACTTGCTTAAAATTGATTTCCCAGGTTGTTAATACTGCCTTTTCAGAGTCTCCAAGACGTGAAGCAAAGCCAAGCAAATAATCTCGCCGAGTCGTATACAACCTACAATATTCCCGAAGGCTTCTGTGCCTTGAGCGAACGAATGCCCCGGCTTGTACTAAGGCGAGAGGAAGGGACCCGAGAAGGCCTGTGACGGTCCTTGCGTCTTCAATATCCCCTGCGGTAGGGTTCTGGAACCCTGACTTTTCGAGTAGTAGTTGCACCGCATCATTTTCCGTCAGGGGACTCAGAACGTGGCCGTTCTCCGTTATGCTGCCAATCACCGCCTGGTCACGACTGGTGATAATAATGTGGCCCCAGTTCACGGCCGGGTAAAACTTATGAAGTGGTACATTGTCCAGATCGTCTGCATTATCGAACACCAGAAGCCACTTACTGTTTTCAGGCCGAGATAGCCAGCCTTTAACAGCACCGATCTTGTCCTTAGAATCTCCAAGCCTAAGAAGGTCATGTAAGCGATCAAAGTCTGCCGAAAGCGAGACCATTGATGTTGCGTTTATAAAGGCAATCCCTGACGGGTATTTTGACAAATTTTGGACGGCATAGTGCAAAGCTGTCTGTGTTTTCCCCGCGCCCCCTGCGTCAGGTTAGCAAAGATTATATATCCATTATGATGCATAAACTTACCAAGACCGCATATTGCGAATGTCCGTCTGCCTTGAGCCTGCCCCTGGTCTTCATGGAAGTACGTCTTCAGCATGTCAAATACATCATCTCTTCCGCGGAAGAACGAGCATGGCTGCGTTCTTAGGTCAAATGGAATAGAGGATTCTATTTAGAAGTCAGTATGTCCTAACAAGAATGTCCGTAGAATTTACCATTGTTTTGGTCCGTGAAAGGTCGCGTTTCACTCGGATAGCCACTGCGTAGGGTCTGGGCAAAGTCTTTCAGCCGAGAAACCACGGGCCGAAAGGACCGATCCTGCGAAGACCTGAATCTGGCAATATTCCTGTGGTCGGCGAACTGGGGGACGGCGATCTCATGGGGAACATTAAGAATCGCAGAGCGCTGGTCGACAATCTAAGGGCGATTAGCCGGGTGGAACTATGAACGCATTCTCGAGATGGAGTTACCAGTCTCCTTAAAAAGGGGCCGATGGAGGTGAACTCGAGCTCATAGAAGGATACAAGTTGGACTTTCCTCCTCCTCTTGAGGAAGTCTTCAGTAATTTCTAACAGGACCTCTGAATCCTTCTGCAGTGTCCCTATAAGCGCACGGGGAGTCCTTATTGGCGAAAATGCTGAGACAATATTTGCCAGGACCTTTCCCATAGCTGCGAGGCTGCTACCGTTATGAGGGGTGCCTAGAGCCCTGTCAGTAGATGATGTATATACGAAGTTTTGAGATTACCTTACCAAGGAATAAGATTCCATATACAGCTTGTTGGACTTGCTCTTGCTCCTGGGTACAACCTATCAACAACGCCTTTTCAGCGGCTAAGTATAGGTCCGAAAGTAAATCGAACGTGGACATTCACCTTCTTCGCTATAATTCCCCCCAGGCTGTGGCAAACAAAGACAATAGGCCGGGATTTCTCCTTAATGCCGAGTTAGCAAAACTATGCCAAGAAATCCAGCGTGACTGACATCTTCTGTTGTCCGTAGATCTACTAGCTCTGCGAGCAACTTCAATGATATGCTTCGTAGGTCTTGCTGCGCGGTGAAATTCTTGAAGCGGGCATTATATCCGAAAGTCATAATACGAATGTCTGGAATCGCTGCAGGTAGAAGATCTCTTAACCACATTACTCCAGTTTCAGTGTGAGTCCATGTGTTGATAGGGTCCCCGTTGAGGCCATGGATCGCGACCAAACTGTATCTTCATAAGCCACCGCCCGCTTCCATAGCAAAATATAACGATGCATCTGTTTGACAAAATGCTTACTCGAACACGGTCTTATGAACCCGGTTTTTCTCGTCGGTAGTTGATGGGTCATGGAGAATGATAATCCCGTATTCGGTGTCCTTAGTCATTGTGTGGTAACTAGGTAGTCTAGTTTCGGAAAGATAATTGAGTTTCAGGAGGAAGCATTTGCATTGTGCTGGGCCTGGCAGTTAAAAGGTTCGCGACCCATCAAGCTTGTGACACGTGTAACAGTGGGATGATTAGCTAGCAATATGCAAGTCATCATATGCCGCCAATACAATTGTCTGAGGAGCCGCGGAGTGCATGCTCTATTTAACTGATCATTGGGCGCGAAGTGCAGAAATATCGGTGCCTGACCTCCAATCATCCTGCGATTGTGATGTAGGACCCCGCAATGGTAGGACGATCAATAAAGATTCGTCGTCCTATCGCCGCTTGCTCCCTACCTATCAATCAGATTTATCAGGTACACAGATGATATACACAGATGAGGCCAGTTTAGCGTAGCATTAGGTGAATTTAACTAGGGACCCTTCCTCTCAAGATCCTTGATATCTTTCAACCATGTAACTATACCTTCTGTCTGGAACCGGCACGGCCCGAAGGTAGTCCCGGAAGGAAAAATTGACCACTCCGGACAGACCTTTTCTGGTCCAGACCTGTGAAGATCAGGTTCCCCATCTTTAGGCCGAGCGACCCTGCGAAAGTTACGATATAGTCCACACCGGAATACTACTAACAAGGCTTCCGTTGGTAAGGTAGACATTTGCTGTCATGGACATTCCAATAGTATGACTCTATGGGTCTGTCATAGGTCTCCCGTGAGCCGATACCAAGAAAGCTATCATGGGGAGACAACCAGAATAAAATCTCGGCCTGCCCCACCTGTGTTTTGTTTGGGAAGCCCACTTATCACGTGCTGATCTCTCTAGCTGTAAACGGTCAGCGTAGGCGCTCAGAAGTTTGCATTGTGCGATCTTGCAGATGCGATACCTTGCGGTCTCTTCACTCCATAAATGTTAGAGTGTACTTAAGCATGGAGAAGCCACAAATGTATTTTGTGCTGCGACATTTCCTTAACGGCACCAAATTTCTTCTCCAATGTCAAGACAGCTGGCCGCTCCGCTATCTAGCTGCTGGACGGGAAGTTGGACGGCAAGTTTCCACTTAGCAGGTAGAGATGTACTGCAACACTTGAGATTCCTTAGACCAATTATTGATTAATAAGACATTAAGCCGGTGAATAACGTTCCACTCTACGCCGCGCCCGAGGCTGTCCGTATCGCTGCTGATAACCGGAATGTCCTCTGCTACCCGCCGATTCGTGCAAACTAGAATCCAAGCCGCTGGCCGCCTCCGAAGTCTCATCAAACCAGCTCAAACTCCTCAGCTTGGTGCTATACCGAACCTGAAGCGAACCCTTCGTCCTTCCCGGGAAGTGCTTCACAATCTCACTCCATGGAAGATGGTCTTTCTGCTTTAATTTCATTAAAAGTTTGTCCTCTTCGGATAAGACAGCAACACGCCTGCTGGTGGCACAACCAGAGGGTTTACGGTTACTGCGTGCGCTGTACCCGCTCTGGAGACCATCACCTTGATCTTCTAAAGTGCTCCTTGTTGACTTATTCAAGAGAAGATCCGTTGTTCTATCTTCTTCAAAAGTGAAGGAATAGACCACGCGAGAGAGGAGCACCTGGCGCGTTAAATAGCCCCTAACAGGAATAGTCTCAATATCCTGAAGTCCAGTTGTTTGACAGTGATGCCGAGGTTCGTCAAAGCAGACAGTTTTGCGTCGTGCGGTTCTTTGTGTGTTATGGCGTTCTTGGCCCGTCCTTTGCCTCACGGTGGCCCCTCGTCGCCGTCGCTTCCGGGGATGCGGCAAAGTGTCACTGTCATCACCATCGTCATTTCCGTCGGCATAATCGTTGTCACCATGATCATCATTATCGATATCGCTCGGAGATACGGAATTCCTCTTCCTTTTATCCATACTCGACCTCTGAAAGTTGGTCTTCGTCTGCTCAGCGGTCGCTATGATTGAGGGGCGTTCCGGTACAACAACAGAGACGGAATAAGACCGAGATGGACTTTTCAAGTGATTTCGCGACCCTGACTCTGATACTGCGCATGTCTCAGGTTGTTCAGGTGCATTTGAGGCGCGGGTCATCGATGCAGCATCATCGGTTGGGCGGAGGGTTGTTTGGGCCCCATCTTCATCCCCCGGAAATGTATCGTGCTCCTTATGAAGGCTTTGGCTCTGTTGGCGTTCAGCCAGCGCCATGATCGGATCTTCTTCTACTGTAGCTGAGCAATCGATCGCCTGGATGCTGTTCGCGGTCGGCGTGGTCGTGTTTTCACTTATTGAATCAGGGCACTTGGGATCATGACGAGATACAACCTCGGATTCGGCAGTATCTGTCGTTACATTATCTGTCAACAAATTGTAGGATTCGGCGGAATTGCAGTAGTCATTCGGCTCTGACGTAGACAGGTCTGTTCAAGCACATGAGACTGGAGCGCAAGCGACGCTCAGAGGAAGGACGCACCGTCAAGTACACAGTTGCTGGATTCAGCATCCACAGATGCTGTATATGTTGACGAAAGCATAGAATTGATTGGATCTGGTGGAGACGTTCCCTCTTTTTTGGGAGTAAGATGGGCCTGCGCTGGAGTAACCTGCGGACTATCTCCAATCCGTCCTTTTGATATGTTCTCTAAGGAAACTGTGTAGCAGTTACGTCAGCCAAGTTAGATGGAAGATCATATTGACAAAGCTGGACAGGATACAAAAAGGGCATGGCTCGTTTGCCTAAGATGGCAGGGGGGCGATTTCCTTACCGCTGCTTAACCCAACTGATTGCCCCGTTGCAACGTTACCTCCACCGTCATCTTGCTGGAATTTGTCGTTGTCCATGGATGGGTTGAGACACGGCTGGCCTTTGAAGGGCGTAGCGTCAAGTTTGGCAAACTCTTTGTCAAAATTGTTTGCATCGGTTGTAAGCCGTATATCAATACTGGACTCAGGGACTGGAGGGACATTGGTGATTTGCAACGGTCCAGAGGAGCAGTATAATGCAGATGAAGGAGAATTTGGAAGGGGAGGAGATGCGGAATGTGAAATAAAACGACGAGGAGGTGGTAGCGGAGGGCGAGGTGGGAGAGGATGTGACTTTAAAGGTGGCGTTAAGGGGAAGTTTGAATGCTCTGAGATCTCAGAGCCTGAGGCGCGCGGTTGTGATGGCTTGGATGGGGATTTAAGGACAAGTGAAGGGTGGTAAGGGATGATATGGTCAAGATTGATGACAACCATGGCGCGAACGTCTAGGGAGAAAGATGTACTGGGAGTAATCCAGCACAATTTCTCCGGGACTGGTATGAAAATAAGTGAGGACAATGGAGAATCGTGTGAAATTGCCGACTGGGAGATTCGAGGGCGAACCTCACGGGGAGCTTTTATACTATTCTTCGCCGTTTCTTCCTAAGCCGATAGCCCATGTCGTCAACCAAAATTTCAGCCATGCCTCCACCGAGAGCACCTGTGTTGTAATCCTAGACGTCAGAGTCGTAAATCTGCGCAATCCCACGGCCCACCACCTTGATCTTTCTGTCGGGCAAGCCGAGGCCTACCATAAGCGGAAATGAGCTGCAGTCACTCCGAGACGGCGGCGAAATAACTGGGCTCCGCGGACAGGGGATAGCCAGCCGTCCCAGACACCCAACAAAGAGCAGCCAATGAAGCACGAGTCTGCGAGGTGCGGCAATTCTGCGATTGGCCACAGGCTACAGTCGTTGGGACAGTTCGAGATTAGAATCACCCATCTTCCTTGCTGCTGCGCCTTAGCAGGCGGGCCGGGTTCGGTGAATTCACAGAGATGTGATACCACTGATTCCACTCAACTGCGGCTCATGAGTAGATGGCCAGCAGTGATAGCAGCTGCAAGGCGCAGCTCAGGGAAATGGAGATGCGCTATTTTTGCCATTGGCTGGGTATTGCAAATGACTGGGCTAGAGAAATAGAAACAGCTGGTGGAGACAACACAGGTGCAATAACCGGCTTCCATTGGTGACTGGTACGCGAGGACGGGCAATGCCGGATGGATCAGCTGCGGCCTAACTGTATCAAAGCATTGCTCTCCTCGTTCGAATGTTGCTAGAGATACGTTAGCGACGAGGCTGATAAATGGAATGATCAAGCGCACGCAGGAGGAAGCGAGGGAGACTTGCTCATCTGACCAACCAGGAATTCTTGGGGGTGCAAACAGAAAAGCACTCTCGCAGTAGAGGGAGAGTTGTTGCCTGCTGGGGAGCACCAAGACGTAGGCCACGTCACTAAAATTCCGGAAGAGGCAGGGATGGCCTGTTGGATGGGAGGATAACGTACCACAATAACCGGAAATTGTTGGCTGGGTTTCAGGTTTCCTCTCGCTAGGAGATACGAAGAGTGGTGAAGGCGACAGATTGGTCAGATGATGAGGAAAGAAATTATTTTGGCCCCCTTTTCATTTTGGGTGTGGGTGAACGGCGTACTCCGGGCGCTGATGATACGTATTGGTTCTGTATGGAGTGCCTCCTGGGTGGGAAAGAAAGAAGTTCGAAGAAGGGGACGGCCTGTTGAGCGACGCACCATCCATTTATATAGATGTTGTAGGCTTGTGCTGGGCGGTAGGCGCCGGCAGATCCCGTCCCAGAAAGGTATGAGACACTAAACCAGATCAGGCACAGGTCCAGCCTATGGGAGTACGCACAGCACGGACGCTAAACCGCAACAGGATGACAGCCATTTTCGGCCTTGCCAGCACAAATGCCAATTGTACTTAGAAAGGCTGGTTTTTATATCTATCTTACTATCTACCTTCTAAAGTCCTTTCTTTAGTGCTTATAAGATTACCTAATAGGTCTTATCTAACTTCCTTACTTCTATCTATAGGCGCTGTAGCTAATTATCTTTAAATATACTTATAGGTTACTTAAAGTCTAATATATCCTTAGTCTTGTCTACCTATAGTCTCCCTGGCCTTATCTTAATCCTCTTAAATAAGGACCAAAATTAGTATGAAATATGCTTATCTGATAGGCCCTTTGGCATATCTTGCTATCTATATAATAATATATCTAGATGAGAGGCAAGCCTACTAGGTTAGTAGTATAGCTTGAAGTTAAACTCTATTAAAATATCTACCTACTGTATCTGCTGCTTACTTAACTACTATAGCTTTTAGAAGTATTAAAGGTTTTTATAGTCTATTAAGATAGTGAAATGAGGCACTATCTTAAGCTTAGGCTGCCACTCCTTTAATACTTAAATAATAGCTAGTAGCTCCTTATTATAAATCTTATAGTTTACTTCTACAGGATTTATCTTCTGTAAGAGATATGCACAGGGGCATAGTATACTATTATCTTAAACTTAAGAAAGAACTACACTAGTTGCCTACCCAGAGGCATTAGTTTTAACCACTGTTTTGCACCCTTCTTTAAAGTAAGCTAGTATAGGGGTAGTAATAAAGAGTTCTTTTAGTTCTATAAATATATTTTAATAACTATTATCCTATTTAAAAACTACATCCTTACTAGTTAGCTAGGTAAGGGGTGCTAAAAGGTTAGTAAAATAGGGTATAAATATATAGTAGAAATTTACAAACCCTAAGAAGCTTTATATATCTTTAACTATCTTAGATACTTCCTATTCTCTGATCACCTCTATCTTTTTAGGGTTAATACATAGGCCTTCACCTACCTTAATAATAAAGCCTAGATACTTTACAGATATCTATTCAAACTCTAACTTTCTAATATTACACTACAACCCAGTAGCTTAGAGTTTCTTTTGTCATGGGCTGCCCCCATGACACGCACTGCATTGTGTATGTAGCTGTGGTCACATGGTTCCCTGTTAGTCTGTTGCTGTGTCATCTTAGCATGATGACAGCCTGTACCTAGTTTTCTTCCTTCTTTAGCAATTCCACTCCATACCTTCATGGCCTATTGGGACGGCTAGAGTAAAGCCTCAGACTGAGATATTCTAGTCTGTGACAGTTAGAATTGCTCACCTACCTGCTAGTAGTGATAATAGCCAACAAAGCTATTACAGATTCTCAGAGAGAGTTTTCACTACCCCTGACCTGACCAGCCTGACCCCTGAGAGACTTAACAAGATATCTGACTAATCTACCCTCCTCCTACTTATACAGCAACTCCAGCAAGAACTCCAGAACTAGCATAATAAAATCCAGATACTCTGCGCAGACCTGAATACCTCTCATGCTGATGTGCAGCTACTCCAGACCCACCTCCTGTCCTAACTAAGATCCCACCTGCCAGACCCCCCCTATTTTGATGGCAAACTATACACTCTGCATACCTGGCTCCCATCAATCTGAGCAAAACTTTGATTAGATAAGCTTATCAGAGCTGATGCTTTTAATTATATATAGGATAGACTAGAGCAACCATAACAGGCCTTAGTCCTTCACCTACACTAATCTGCAGAGGAAACCTAATCATGGGATGTTGAAGCTATCTTCTTATTTTTTTAGTGTCTTTGCTATAACCCTAGAGAACACCAGGAAGCCATGCAGCGCTTCACTACTATATGGTAATGGGAAGATGAGTCCCTTATTACCTTTCTCACCCACTTTAAGCGCCTTATGTATGAGGCCGGAGCAACTATATAGCCAGATAGTTCACACCTGTCAACCCTGCACAGAGGGCTTCGCCCCTCCCTCTGCCAGACCCTAGAAGACACTAATGATGACCTCTTTACCCTCTTATATAATGAATATGTTGAGCTTGTCCAGCTTATTGACTGACGCACCTGTCGCACCTAGCCTGCTAAGAATCCTGCCTTAAAACCTGCGCCCACCCAGACCCATCACACCAACCTAATGGACATAGACCCAGTTTGGATCTCTCATGTCTATTATGTTAAACCTGCCCTGCACACACCATCTACACCATCTGTTCAATCATCTGCTTCTAAACGCCATTCTTACCAACTAGAACATGACCTCTGCCTATACTGTGGTTCTGATGATCATTAGATTGAAGAGTATGACCAACATTCCTGCTCTGCTAGCTCCTAGCCTAGCTCACCTATACCTGCCCCTGCTAAGCCCTGTACTAAGACAACAGCCAGAAGTTCTACTATGGACGCCCTCTTTAGTTAATGGCCCCCAGAGGTGGCCTTAAAGGAGGGGGGTATTGTCATAGGCTGCCCCCATGACACACACTGCATTGTGTATGCAGCTGTAGTCACATGGTTCCCTGTTAGTCTGTCACCATGTCATCTTAGCACAATGACAGCCTGTACCTAGTTTTCTTCCTTCTTTAGTAATTCCACTCCATACCTTCATGGCCTATTGGGACGGCTAGAGTAAAGCCTCGGACTGAGATATTCTAGCCTGTGACATCTTTAGTATGTTAGCTACTTTTTACTAGTAGTCTACTAGCAAACTACTTAAGTAGATGATGATATTATCTATATAAGTAGACATAAAGTCATCTAGGAAGTCTTATAATATATACTACTAAAATATTGCAGGTGTGCTAGTTAACCTAAAAGGCATAATATTCTACTTAAAGAGACCATATTAAGTCTGAAATGCTGTCTTAAACTTATCTCCTAGCTAGATTTAAATCTTATAGAAGGCTATAATAATATTAAGCTTTAAGAACCATTGCACTTGAGCTATATTCTATAGGGTATTATAAATTAGTAGTAATAGGTAATAATCCTTCTTAGTAAGTTCATTCAGACTATAGTAGTTAATATAGAATTAAATTCCCCCTCCTAGCTTTCTAACTAGCAGCACTGGAGATACTACTAGTAACTTACTAACCTAAATAAAGTTCTTATTAAGTAATTTAGTTAATGTCTTTCTTAAGACTAATAGCTCCTTATAATTTATTCTATATAATAGACTATATAGCAGTAGCACTTTATTACTACTTTAATTATATTTTAAGGGTATCTTATAATTAACTCCTGGTCAGTGCCCTAGAAGGGTATTTACTAACTATTTACTAAATATATTTAACTATAGCTAGTAGTGCTTTAGTAGTTTTATTTTTAGATTAATATATTTCTTTAGCTAGAGTACCTTCTTAATATCTGCTATTATTATTTTACTAATCTGTAGTCATTTATTTATTAAAGCTCCTATAATTAGGTTATAAATCTTTATTACTTCTATCTTTATAACCCTTAATTTCTTCACCCTATATAGGCTAATTATTTCATTATACTAGTTCTAATATCTAATCTTCTTACTAGCCTTTATAAAGATATCTATATACCCCTTTACTACTGAG